ATGGACTGTTTCTCTGCAGGTTTCACGTAACTGCAGATGGATATTTTTATAGAAAATAACTGATACTAGAGCTGCAACAATTAGTCGATTAATCGATTTATTACCAACTATTTTAGTTGTTGAATAATTTAGGTTAGGTTTAAGTCATTGTTTAGCAAAAACAGGCAAACATTTAATGGCTCCAGCTCCCCAAATGGGGCAGCTATGGCGCAGAGGCAGAGCAGGTCGTCCCCTAATCGGAAGGTTGTTAGTTGTTCCACGGCTCCTCCTGTCACATGTCGGCGTATCCATTAAGATACTGAACCCCAAATTGCTCCCAATGCTGTGAATGTTTATGAATGCGTTAGTTTGTGTGCTTTGAGTGGTCAGAAGACTAGAAAGGTACAAGGACAGGTCCATTTACCATTTACCAAATGAGTCGATTGGCTGCTTTCTTTGTTGTATGTCGAGTAAACTGAATCTCGTTGGCTTTTGGGACTGTTGGTGTGACACACAGACATTTGGAAACATCACTTTGGGCTGTGGGAAATTAAAAACCAGACTTTTCTGATGTTTTATAGACAATGATTCATTGAAAACATAATCTTTAGACTTAAAAATGAAAATAATCGCTTGTTGCAGCCCTGACTGAAACAAATAAGGTCAAATTAAAAACGTATTGATGATTTATAGAATTAAATTGTGTAGGATGTGTAGCAGTGTTGTATAGAGCTGTACTGAAGGTTTGTTACCTGACTGACCTGCTGAACACTGCTGCTTCATCCTGCAGGAACAAAGCAACATATTGGACCTGGTAGGGGGGGACAGGAAGGAGAAAACAAACACACCCAAAGTGCTGACACTACAGTATGCTTCAGTAATGCCAAAGATTTACCAGATTCTCACCTCAGTGTTCAATCCGATGCACTGTGTTTGAGAAGAAAAGGTTCTTGTTGTTTTATCGTTTGAACTGTGTGTATGTGTGTGCGTTCACCGCCAGTAATATGTTAGAATTATTAGTTCTTGAATCAACCTCAGTCTTACTTGTGATCTAAAATATTGATCATTAATAATTGTCTTTCTCATTTTAGCTCAGATATAAAACAGAAAATCATCAAGTTCTCTTATTGGAGAAACTAGAACCAGTTAATGTTTGGTTAACACTTACTTGGAAGTTGACTGAAATGATTTGTTGATACATTTTCAGTTGATGGACTAATGGATTAATCAGCTATTCACTGCAGCTCTAGTCTCTACATTCATGAAGTGTAGTCGTGGTAAAACCCACGCAGCTTCACTCATCACTCCAGGGATTAAACTACAGCCTCTCTGACTCTGACCTCCAGACCGGCTCCTTTTTAAAACCCTCCTCATAAATAACGTGATGAAAAAATTCCTCTGTGTCTGGATTCCAACTGCTCAGCAGGAGAGGAGACTCTGTGGAAGATAGAGAACAATAGAATTTACCTCAAATGCTGTAAAATCCTTTAACCTGAAAACCTTTAGAAGTGAGCAGAGAATGAAACTGAATGAAACATTATGTTTGTAATGATAAATAACTATTTTATCAGCTGCAGCTTCAACTGAGTAACAATTAAGAAAACATAAGGTAGACTTTATTGATCCCACACCTGGGAAATTTACAGCAGCTCAACGTACAACACAACACAGAAAGTGGAAGATAAGAAAATGCATAGAAAAAGAAAATCAGAGTGAGTTATGAACACTATATATACCATGTTTGATGGATCATTGCACATATGATGTGTAGCATTATACTAAATATATACAGTATAAAAAATAATACCTTGAAAGCTCAATGAAATTGGAGCAAGAAGTGTAATTAAGTATGATTTTATATTTAAATTAAATATGAAGGCTACATAGACTGATATGGACTGATGTGTGTTATAAAAATAAATCCATATTTATGTATTGCAGAATGGTTGGTCCTGAGTTTGTGTTTGTTCTGAAGGTTTCTGATCCTGTTATGAAACGTCTGGCTGCCTCCACAACCCGCTGTGACAGCTGTTTAATATCCTGTGTGTGTGGTGTGTGTGTGGTGTGTGGGGTGTGTGTGAGATACAGCCAGTGATGGGAATAACGGCGTTACTTTTTTCAGTAACGAGTAATCTAATTGATTACTCTTCCCATCTTAATAACGCCGTTACCGTTACTGCCAAACAATGCGCCGCGTTACTATAATTGAAGCTGTTTTTTCATCAGACCAACTAGATCTCTGAGCCGAGAGGCAAAGACTTTTTTTTACTGTTCTTCCTTGGTTAGTGGGCAGTGCACGAGACAAGCGCATAAATGCTGACGATTGGCTGACGTTGAGTAAAATTTCATGGTAAGCCAATCAGAGGTAGAGTTGGGCGGGTGTTCGAAAGCGCACATAGTCGGACACACAACGAACAACACAAGCGAGTCAGTCAACGAGAGACAGGTATGGCGAGTTGTGTTGCATCTTATTACATCTGCACTAAAAAGAGTGTATATATTGTTTGAATACATTTTTGGTACATTGCTTAAAGAGCATAATTTCATTCAGATTTATTTGTTGGCTGGCTGCTGCCTCTTGAAGTGAGATTGTCAATGGCCAGAGAAAGAGATTTATTTTTATGGAGATGTATTTTTTATTTCTTATGTAGTACCTGTTTATATTTGGATACCTTAGTTTTGCTATACATTGTACTTTTCAGTTAGATTGAAAGCACCTCATATTGTTACACTGTTCTACTTTTTAGAGGAAGAAAATACTTGAAGTACAGTATATTTACTAATTGTCTGAAGTTTTTTTTTGTTATATTTGCACTACAAAGAGTGTATATATTTGTTATTTATTTTTGGTATAGTGCTTAACAAGCATAATTTAATTTTGCCCAGTTGTGGCCTGTTGAGGGGCAATAAATATCAAAAGTTCCAAAACATCTATTGTGTTATTTGTATCGATCCACTATATAAACATAATATCTACATACACGGCATTTGATTGGAGGGTACTCTCACTTTGTCCCATAGCAACATTAAAGTAGTTTAGATTTGTGTACATTGTTTCTGTTAATAATGGATTGTATTAAGTGTCCTTTCATTATAATATTCAGATTTATCATAAATAATTGAACATGCACATGTATTTTAAGTTCTGTTAAAGAGGGGTGGAGGTGGGGTCACATTTAAGCATTTAAAAATTTACTTGAAAGTAACGCAATAGTTACTTTCTGAAGTAACTAGTTATAATTTGTAACTAAGTAACTAATTTAGTTACTTTTTGGAAGAAGTAACTAGTAACTGTAGCTGATTACTTTTTAAAAGTAACTTGCCCAACACTGGATACAGCTGCACTGGACCTGAACCTGAAGGTCATCATTACACAGTTAACCTTCAAAGTGGTCATTGTTGTGAGAGCCTGAATCTGATTCAGATATTTTTTGTGAATAAATGCCAAAAGAGTGGACACTTAAATTGTAGTGGGTTGGCACTTTATTTATTTTTTATATTTAATTTGATATAATAATAAATAATTGTACTGGTTGTTGGTATTTAGTCATATTTTCATACTTTGGACAGCAGAGTTGGCTCCATGAGGGGGCACCAGGGCACAGTGCCCGCCCACTTCATTCACTGAGCCCCCTCACCTGCAGAAAAGCATGGCACTGTTTTCTCTTTACAAGCTGAGCCGGAATTGTGTGCTAAACTGGCTGAATAGTTTTATCCTTTTTTTTTAATTATTATTATTTTTTTCCCTATTTTTTATATGTATTCATACCTGTGATTTTAGTTGTTTTATTAAGAATGAGAATGCACTATTTTGTGAAGATTATTTTTTTCCTAAAATTCTCTCCTAGGGAGCATACGACCGAATGCTTTCACTTTTATTATGCACGACTAAATTGCCACTTGCCAGTAATTTGGTGCCCCCCTGCTATAAGCCTTGTGCCCCCCTTGGTTATTTGTTCTAGCTCAGACACTGTTGGCCCGTATGATCATCAAAGTGCTTAAATTACATTCTGTTTGGTCTTAGACCAGTCTTGAACAGGCAGAACTTTAACCTGCAGAGACCCGGGAATCAAATACTAAACAGACACGTTGTGACATTTGTGCTCTCCGACACGTGCAACATCATGTTCTCTTTTTTCATCGTCTTGTCTCACTCACACACACACACACACACACACACACACTTTCTCTCAACATCACTCTCACTTTGTCACACTCCATCTCTTGCACACACTCGTCTTCGTCACGCAGGAGTCCAGATGGTTTCCTGAAGCAGATGGAGAGAGTGACGAACACAGTTTGACATGCTAACACACACACACACACACACACACACACACACACACACACACACACACACACACATATATACACATATATACACACACACACACACACACACACACACACACACACACACACACACACACACACACACACACACACACACACACACACACACACACACACACACACACACACACACATATACACACACATACATATATATACACACACAGACACACTTTCATGTCTTTCTCACACAGATTTACTTGTTGTTTTTGACACAGTCTCTCTTGCGCTCTTACACACACTTCTGCTAGTCCTAAGGTCCCTAAACTTTCTCTCTGATTGGCCAGCTATGGTCTCAGGTCAGCGAAGTCCGTGCTGACAGGTGATTGGCTGGTAGTTGTGCTGATGTAAACACGTCACGTTGAGCCCTTTAGTGGAGTCAGAGCAGCAGGACAGAGCAGCTGCTGCAGCACACAGACACACTGATTCTCAGGAATTTCATTTGGATTTTTAAGGATTTTAATGTGGAATCTTAAACTTTGAACTGAAAGAGTCCTATTTTCTGCTTTTTGTGTCCTGCTGAGGTGAATATTTTAAAGCTTTTGGAATCCATTTTCCGAGATCCTTTTTTTAAATCATTAGTTCTGTGTTATTATTCCTTCCTCCTTATTTCCTCTGTGTTGTCTCCTGCCGATTACTGATATTCTCCCTCTGTCTCTGTCTCTCAGGTTCTGTGGCACCTCGATATCTTCCGACGTAGTTTCCGTCAGCTGACGACTCATAAGTGTATGGAGGACTCGTGCATTTTCTGTGCTCTGAAGGTGAGAATTGGCCTGACTGATATTGAAAGCCGATTCTGGACCGGCTTCCTGTGTCTAACCTCGTCTGTCTGTGTTCTTTTGTTCTTCAGAGTATCTTCGCTCAGTTTCAGTACAGCAGTGAGAAAGTTTTACCATCCGACGCTCTTCGCAGCGCGCTCGCCAAAACCTTCCAGGACGAGCAGAGGTTTCAGCTCGGCATCATGGATGACGCTGCTGAGTGCTTCGTAAGACAACACACACACACTTGATGCAGTAATACTTACTGTAAAAACATTCAAGTTTACTTTTAACCGGATGAAATGGTGGATTCTCTGATGATCACTTCTGTGCTCTGTATTTCTGCAGGAAAACCTCCTGATGAGGATTCACTTCCACATTGCAGACGAGACCAAAGAAGACATCTGCACAGCCAGACACTGCATCCCCCACCAGAAGTTTGCCATGACGCTCTTCGAACAGGTGAGACAGAGACGTGGTCTGAGTAGCGTTGTAGTATCAGAAGAGTCCCAGTCCACCAGCTGAGTTCCTCCCTGCTGGAACAAAAGACCAAAAACATATCCATCTGTCACCTTGAAAACTATCCATTTAGATTAAAGGACAGGTTCACAGATAATTGGTTTTCCTGCGCCGGTATTAAGGCGATTTTTACTGAACTGAACTATCAGAACTAAGATGTTATAAAACAGTCTCTAGAATCTGCACCCTACTGTACATTTAGAGATGTTTCTGGTGTAGCAGCATGTCTGTTCTCCATATGCTGTTCCCCGTTGCTAATGTTACTTTTTGTGATTGTGTCTGTTCAGAACATTGTAGTTTATGTTGGTAAATGTAAATGTATGTTTTTGTGCAGGTTTATAGGTTTAACCATTAGTGAAGTGAGCCACTTGTCCATGCTGGTATTGAATGTGATATAACTCTTCGACTCCTGCCATGCTTGGCGATCTGATTACATATCTGCGATTTCCATTAGCCACAATTGGACAGTATGAAAATGGAAACGAGCGCACAACTTAATAGTCAGGTGCTTTCTGTAATCTCTCCTGTAGTCTAGAGGTGGGCGATATATATCGTTTGCGATAATATCGTCATTGTTGTTTTGACGATGTGCAAATTTCCATTATCGAGTATTTAAATTACTTCGACAAAAACAATGAAACGCCCGCGGAAACTCCTCACATCCATTAATACACGGTGCAGCAGCGCTCTCTACAGCATGGCAGGATTCAGTCACACGACTAGTGGGCCTACGTGATCACATGACGTGATCACGTGACCTCTCGCTAGCATCCTCCTTGCAACAGTTTAGCAGCGCGTAGTGACGGTAGAGAGAAAATGCAAACACCTCCAGTCCCTGAAGCTACCGGTACTTCAGATGATTTAGTGCCGAGACGTGGGTCCTATGGGCTTCAGCGTTCAGAGCGCTAAGCGCCTTCAGCGGTAAAAAGATGTCAGCGGAGACGGTTTTTTTTAGCGCAGCGCTCAGAGCGCTTCAAGTTGAAATCTGTTCAACTTTTAACACCGCTGGGCGCTCGGAAAATGAGTTTTTGAGCTCTCTCAGCGCTGTAAACGCGTTTGGTGGACACAAGTCCAGCTCAGACAATTCTAATCACATTTTAAAGGATATCGACTGATTATCGTTATCGCCAAAATCCCCAAAAATATTGAGATATTATTTTTTGCCCATATCGCCCACCCCTACTGTAGTCTATAATGGACATTAAAAGATCACTTTCGAAATATTGCTGCAGTTTTGTCATTTTCACTCATTAAGTTTTAGTAATACCCCTTAAAAGTGACATCATCGCGTTTTACATTGAGTGCTGTCGTGGCGCATGGTTGTGCACTTCCCAAATTTTTTCCTCCTAGTAAAAGACTAGGTGCCCACTGCATAGACAGAGCTTTTCATTTTAAGACGAGTTTGATGGTAGACTGGCTGAACAGGTACACCTGTACAAACATCTGTGTAGAGACCACAGGGACCGTCAAAAAATAAAAGGACAGTGACCCAGACCCAACACAGCAGTTCTGTTTAATAGCATAAACGCAACAATTCTTCCTCCACATCGAGGAGTTATACAGCAGAGTGTGCAGCCATGTTTTCTCTATGACGATCCTCTAGTAACACTCCACCCAATCGTTTTGTTTTGTTCTTACACCAGCTGGTGTTTCAGAGAATACTGCAATGGAGAATGTGTTGTGTAGAAAAGCTAAAGTTAAACTCTTGATTTAAAAAAAAAAGTGTGAGGCGTGATTTTTACTCTGTGTGTGTTTCAGTGTGTGTGCAGCAGCTGTGGAGCGTCCTCAGACCCTCTGCCCTTCATTCAGATGGTCCACTACATCTCCACCACCTCCCTGTGGTAAGTCTGTGTGTGTGTGTGTGTGTGTGTGTGTGTGACACTTTGTTTAGAGGACACACCCCCCACCATTCCTGTCACTAGGTTACACTTCAGGGTCGGTAACCAGCTAATCGCTCTCTTTATCATGTCAAACACACACCACAGGTGATTGATTCTCCAAGTATAGGATGGTATTATATTCATATTTTAGTTTAAGAATATTTTGTAAGGTGGGAGGGCTGGAGGAAGTCCTGTAGACAAGTTCCAGTTGTGATAGCTCAGTTTCAATTTCTAACAGCCGTTTTCACCTTTCCTTTTTCAGTGAAGATTCAAAAGAAATGATGTGACCCCGAATCACAACTTTTCCCATAAAGTGGAGTCTGTGACTTCTAAGTTGTCATTATTGTGTGTATTGTATGTCAAATTCTGAGATCTTAGTAGATACGTATTGACAAAATGCATCAGAAAGCAGTGATAGGTGAAGACGCCAGGTATACTGCTGCTTTTTATGATTAAGGTCAAGAACCAATGAAGTTGGAGAGTGGTCATAAATTAAAATATTGTGATATTTTGAGAAAAAAGAGTAATCTATATCTGTAGGATGCCCCAGTCTCCAAATATCAACTAGATTCATGGAAGCCATCAAGTTATTTAAAACCGTGGACGAGGTAGAAGACTGATTTAGTTGGACCGACCTATCCAATCGGTTATCAAGAACGCAGTTAAAACCGCCACCTACAATTAAATGTGTATCAGGCTGGGTCATTACAATTTGGACCAGATACATTGAGGAGTGTGACACAAAATGAGTAAATGTAGACAGTTACCAAGATAAATCGGCCGTTTGAATCACTCACAGTAGAGACATGCCTAAGTGGAACTGTCATACGGATCAAAATTGCCACTCCCCGAGCTTTACTGGAGAACGTGGACTGAAAAATCTGGTTGGCCCAGCTACATCTAAGCAACTTTTCCTTTGTGGGTCTGATATGCGTTTCTTGCAAATACAATATATCAGCAGACAGAGATTTTAAGTGAGAGAACACCTTAGTTCTCTTGAGCACATGCCCCAGCCCACGCGCATTCCACCTAGTAAAAGTGATGCCCCCATCTAGCACAGGTAAACTAGGATGTATAATTTAACTAACTATACTAATTTGTATAGTAGCAGTGTACAAACATAATGCCCTAATAAACTAACAATAAAAATAAGAGTAACACATGAAAAAGAACAAGAACATCACCCTCTTTCCCAAACTAAGTGAGAGTGTAAACCTCTGTATTCTCACATAGGGGCTGCCGGACCAACTAAATGGCAACTAAGTTAACACAGGGACTAATTCCTTCTTGTTCATTGCTTTTAATAGGGTCCAGCTGGTGATTATCAGACTTCATTCTGTCAGCTTATTCTTCTTTGCCTCTGTTTGTGTCTGTTTGTGTCTGTGTCACCAGCTGAATCAGACCAACATTTCATCTTGTGATTAGTTTGGTTACTAGATGATGGCAGATATGACCTTTTGTGGAGTAATGTAGCTCCTCTAGTCTTGTTATTCAACGACCACCTTACTGAAACCGTGCTTAGCCATGACCTAAATCTGTCAACATGTCACAATATTTTTAATATCATCATTACCATTACTTTTCGGTTTTATCATAAACGATATGGTGCACCCAATATTTGTCATCTTTGATTGGTCAAGTAATGAAGTTGAGGCTAATGAAATGGCATAATGTTGGAATGCAAACATACCTTTATTTAATATCAACAAAAGCAGGGCCTTTTTTTTGTAATTCAAATGCAATATATAAATGTAAAAGTCTCAACTGCAATAATTGTGAGAACATGAGTTACAAAGCTATGAAGACCAAATCTCCTCCTCCTCATCTTCCTCAGTAACCAGGCAGTGAAGATGTTAGAATCGAGGGAGAAAGCGACCCCTGGCATGTTTGGAGAGCTGCTAAGAAATGCAAGCATGGGAGACCTGCGCAACTGTCCCGTAAGACACTTTTATGATAATGATAATTAAATGTTAAATGCTTCTGAAATGTAAAGCTTTCCATTGTTTCACATCAATGTAAACATTGTACTTGTTGGTCCTCCTCCTCCTCTCCTTCCTCAGAGTCAGTGTGGTCAGCAGCTCAGGATGGCTCGTGTCCTCCTAAACAGTCCGGAGATCATCACCATTGGTCTGGTTTGGGACTCTGATCACTCAGACCTTGCTGAGGATGTCATTCACACCCTGGGGACTTGCCTGCGCCTCGGGGATGTAAGAAGAACAAACACCGTGATAAACATCAGTGTCATCAGCGTACAGTGAAAGAAAGTCAGAAAATGGTTCAGCTTCTTCATTGAACTCTTCTCGTCTCTCTGCAGTTGTTTTACAGGGTGACGGAGGAGAAGGCTCGCCAGTCGGAGCTCTACCTGGTCGGCATGGTGTGTTACTATGGGAAACATTATTCCACCTTCTTCTTCCAGACAAAGATCCGACGATGGATGTACTTCGATGATGCTCACGTCAAGGAGGTATATTCATTGATATACAGCAATATACACACTGATCAGTAGACTTTCGGGGAGTCCTGGTTGCCAAGGGGTTCAAGAAACTAACTAAAAACTGCAATGGTTTTAGTCCAGCTAGGGACCTTTTTCATTCCCCATATCTCTCTCTCTCGCTCTCTCACGCACCCATTATTTCCCGTCATCTTTCTACTGCTGACTCACTAATAAAGTAATTAAAACTTTTAATTTTCTACCAAGCAATTATGTCAGAAACTAAGCCACCATAGCACACTCAGGAAAGGTTTGTTGAATTAGCTGAACACTTTTACTTACTTTTGGTATTTCAAGTCAGGAAGAAATACAAGAGACAAACGTGTCTTCAGAGGAAACTTGAAGTGTCTTCACAGAAAGCAACAACCTAAATTGTAAAGAGCTGCTGCAGATAAAAAAGGTAAAGATGTCGGGGTGTGGAGAGAATCTGGCTTCTTGAAGTTCTGTGAATGAAAAAGCCTGACACAGACCTTCTTGTAAGACATAAAAGCATCAAAACAAGATATAAAAGAACCACAAGACAATATAAAATGACAAGAAGAGTAAAAAAAAAATGGAACATACAGATAAGGTAAAATAGAAAAAGATAGAATAAACAGCCAAATAAAACTTATAGTACAGTAACAGTGCAGTGTGAGATATGAATAAATAAAAAACACAGAGTTGCATCAGATCTGTGGATCATGAAAACAGAATTCTGCTTCTTCAGGTTCAGTTTGGACCCTGGGTTGATTAACGGAAGTATTTGCATGTTGGGTGGTGTGGATTGGTTCTCATAAATGGTCGTTGGGTGCTGGTCTTTAAAAAACCTGACCTACGCATCAATATACCTCAGTTTTCACTTATTTTTGGGGGGGAATGTCCCAAAAACATTTTGGTTGTCCGATGTTGAACTGGAAATGGATTTCATCAACAAGGGTCCTCACAGGTATAGAAGCGTGTGTGTGCGTGTGCGTGTGCGTGTGCGTGTGCGTGTGTGTGTGCGTTTGTGTGTGTGTCTTGGAAAAACACGAAAGACGTAGGTTTAGGAAAGGAAATGACCTCATGTTGTAGTGAGTGATCTCTTCCTGTCCATCCTTACACCTCTCTCCTATCTCTAACTCTTTCCTGTGTCCTCCTTGCATTCCCTTCTTTACCTCCTTTTCCTGCCTCCTTCTCTCCTTTTTTACTTTTAATTTTTTTTCCTCTTCATGCTTTGCTCTCTTTTCTATTATTGCTGTACTGTAATAACACCAGTGGAATGAGATATCAAATTTTCTCACTCCCTCTGTCTCTACTGGTTGTGAAAACAAGGATATCCCTCTATTGTTTATCAGTCCAGCTGTACAGAGGGTGTGGTCAGAGCACACACACATATCCCACCACACCACAGCCGACACTTTTGCTCACACTGCAGACTTTCATTCTATATCTTTCTTTCTCTTGCACAAACACACTCAGCGGCACGCGGTTAACAAACAGGCATTTTGGATTTTGGGACGTCCTGTCAGATCTGAGCAGAGCTGGAGTTGAACATGGACTTTTAGAAAATGGAGGAAGGGTTGAAATAACAAGCGGGAGGATTTGTGTTGCACAGAAAGACAAACTGAGCAGGAAGACGACTGATGAAACAGGGGTGGTACAACCTCAAACATTTCAGCCGCCCTCACTGTTTTACCTGCTGAGCGGTGTTTCCGAGGTGAATGGGACATCTTTACGGCGGCTGGTAAATTCACCAGCTGGTTTTCATGACTTTAGTGGATGGTTTGATGTGGAAAAATGAGAATATCTATTATTTCAAAACATGTAACAGCATTAGAATTATTGGAAATATTTTGACTACCTCACGTTTCCATGCCTGAGTTTGGGTAATTACACCTCAGAGTTTGATAGCATTTAAGCAAATAAGAACCTAGTATTCAAAAGTGGTGCAAGAAGATATCTTATTGCAATATTTTTTTGTGATATTGTGACGACTCTCGAAATTCCTGTATCGATTTTTTTGTGTTTAAACCCCCAACCACTAGATAGCAGTGTTGTAAACTTAAACTGAGGGCTATAATGTTATAGGGACTGTGATTAATACAAATGCAGATTCCACTGTTCTGGTCGCATGAAAAACTCTTTCACTCATTTTATACATATGGTAAAAAAAAAAAGTTGCAATATACATTGCTTGTTTACACTGTTGCGGCATATTGAATCGTAACCCCTGTATTGTGATATTGCTATTGATATTGGTATTGTATCGCTGGATTCTTGCCAATACACAGCCCTAGTATTGAATTCACTCATCAGCCAAATTTTAAAAAATCCCTTCATTTGAGGTTTTTCTGTGTAGGGAGAAAAGACAGTTGATGTTAAAAGTGAGCTGAGCAGCAGAAGATATGAAATGTAGATTAAATATATATCTGACACTAAAATAACAGCTGAAAAATGCACAGCTTATTGTTCAGAACTCATGATTCACAACTGAAACTAATCAACTTCAGTTAATGATCTGAACCTTGAAGTGGGATATTCTCCAGAGACTGATGTGATCAGCTCTCAGATTTTCTCTAGAAAACAATCAGAGAAAGAGAGCGACTTTAGTGACAGTTTGCAAACCCACAACATAGCTAACAATAGTTAGATTACATGCTGTGCATTGTTTGCACTGTATCATGATATTTGTCATGGTGCTGGATTTCTCCACAATTGCATACCTAACCTTCAAGCAAGTACAGTCTGAAACTGAAAAAAATGTACATTTAAATCAGGCACTATGTGATCAGAGACTAAAGAAGATGAAGAATTACTGACATTTGCTTTATAATGTTTGATATCTGGTTCCATAGACACACTTCTTTCAGTACCAAAACGGTATTAAGGTAACGTCTGAAAAGTGATCACAAATATAAAATTTCTTCTTGTACTATCAATCATAAAACCATACAAAAAAAATCACAGAAGGCAAAGAGAGTTAGGAATGACCAAAAATATGCAACTAAGAAAACAAATAATTAAAAATACATATTGTGTTTATTTCTATTTTTCTCCACTACACCAGACATTTTGAGTTTTTTTTTTTTTTTTTTTGCATTTTCATCAGCTTTTGGAGTCTGTGCTTTTGTGACTCCCCTGCAGATCGGTCCCAAGTGGAAGGACGTGGTTTCTCGCTGCATCAAGGGCCACTACCAGCCTCTGCTGCTGCTGTACGCCGACCCACGGGGGACGCCGGTATCCGTGCAGGACCTCCCCTCACGCTTCGACCTCCACCACCTCAACAAGGCCTGTTACGACAGCGAAGACTCGGGTAACTACAACACAGCTAGGAGTCGTAGTAGTAGCACAACAGCAAACATTCAGGTAACTAAACCAGAAACAGTAGTGCTTGTAATAGTCGTAGTAGTACTATGACAGACAAGACTGAGGTAACTAAAAGAAAGCTAAGAGTTAGTTAGACGTAGTTGTCGTTGTGGCTGTTGTGGTTGTAGCAGTAGTTGTAGTACTTGTAGCAGCAGTTATGCTTAGGTGAGTCTGATATGATGTGAATCTGTGTGTGTGTGTGTGTGTGTGTGTGTGTGTGTGTTGTGTGTGTATGTATGTGTGTGTGTGTGTGTGTGTGTGTGTGTGTGTGTGTACATGACCACATGTACATCACCACTGACGCCCCTACTTGTGTACTAACCCCACCCCCTCCACCCCTCCGGCCAGGCCGCGAGCAGTCAATCTCCAGCGACACTCGCACCGATTCGTCGACGGAGAGCTACTCGTACCGACAGCCCTCCCACTCACACCATGAGTCCCTGGCCAGTCACTACTCCTCTGACTCCCAGGGAACCGTCATCTGCACTGAGCGCCCAGAAGGACCCCTGCATGCCTCGCTCTGCAGCCTGGATACCATAGGTGGGTCGCAGTGGGGGTAGCCCAAGTTATCTGGGTAGAGTGTAGGAGGCAAGAAAGTCTTCCATTGAACAGTATCAAGGTGAAGTATCCAATGAAGAGTTGGCTGAATAGATCTGAAAGTTCATTTGAAACATGGGATTGAGGTATGGATTTATGTGACAAATTTTGTAAGGTAAAGAATACAAAATTAGGTGGACTTTAATTTCATGATGATAATTTTATTCATGGATTTAATTTACCATTGATTCATGTATAAAATGTGAAATAATTTAATTGTTTGACATCTTTAAACTTCTTGTTTTGTCTGACCAATAGTCCAAAACCCAAAGATATTCAGTTTATAGTCATATAAAACAGAGCAAAGGCAAATCCCCATAAACCCTGGAACCAGTGGTTAATCAGTTATCAGTTGTTCCACTCCAATTGACAAATGTGTATAATTATATTTGAATACATTTATTCAGTGTCTTTTATGGGAATTAAAATGTAAGAAGCTTCAGGTTGCGCACGTTCTGGGCTACTGTAGAAAAGTGGTGGTTAGACATGGTGGACTGCATAGATGATGACCCACTCCCTGTGTAGATATAACGGCTCATTGCAAAGTAACAAAAACATATTTTACATACATACATACATACATATATACATTGTTTATTTTCAGGTAATTACACACTAATGAAAACAACCATAAGAATAATATATTGCATTACTGTCAATAAATCCTCCTAAATGTTACACACTGGACCTTTTTTAACATTTTAATCTTTAAGAAACAAATGGTAAATCTTATTGTCCAGGGATGTGTATTTTTATAGTAAATCAAAAGAACTCTAGACTATACTACCTTTTTGAAGTAGCTTTAAATGCTTCAGATTATCAAGTGATTAATGTTACTACTTAAAGTGTATTTCCTGTAAATACAAATCTAAAACTTAGTCATATATTAGATTAATTTACAGAATATTCATCTGCAAGTATTTTGATAATTAATTAATTATTTCTTTTTCTTTCTTTTCAAGCATAAATGTCAAACAATATCTTTCAAATTGCAAAAATATCTCAAGGGGTTTGGACAGTTGTTCAGACCAACAAGCAGTTTGAAGACGTCATATTGGGCATTTTTAATTTTGAATGAAATTATTAATTGATAATAATATAATAAGCAGATTTATTGATTTGATTATGGAAATAATCATTATTTCCTGTGCTAAACTGCCAGCGTGTTGGCGTAACATTAGGAGGATCCAGACTAGATTCTAGGTACTTTGGTGAGGTTTAGATTCAAGGCTGGAAAAGACTAAAAGGGCCATAAATGTCTTAAATAAAATAATCATGCATTTCTGAACAAACAGAATTGGAAATACAGCCCTGTCAAAGTCAGCAGCTTCATAATGTTTATGATGTGAATGAAAGCAGCCATGGACAATCAGCTGTTGTCTGGCATATTGGTAACCAATCACAGCAAGGTTTGCTGAGTCACCTCTCTGATAACATACCATTCATTTTAATTTATTCATTTACATTTATCTTTATTATGAGAAAAAGAAAAAACTATTTAAAAAGTCTGGGGTTTTTTGAAGGAAAATCTCAATTTTATACTTTATGACAAAGTGAAGGAGCAAACATGAAGAGATTTGACCCTGTATGACCCTGCTGTGCAGCAAATCACACTCTGCCATCCGTCTTATTTTTTTTTTCATATTGTCGTGTTGCATGATGTGGTGACCATGCTGTAAACATCCGTTGCCATGCTTCTTGTGCTAAGGCCACGTGACGGACAGTGAGCAGCACCAGTCTCTGAGGAAGGGAGGCGGGGATAGGAGGCGGAGCTCTAGCCGCCACCGGCGATCTAAACTCGACAACGAAGCCTCGTCGGCTGGTTACCACAGCGAGGGTAGGCGTGGTTTGATCCCCTCAAGGGCTGGGGTATTTGGGGCGCAGGGGGCAAATTACAGGGCAGAAAGGACAAGTGACATTATCATCACCCAGTTCTCTCTCTCTGTGACACATTGAACAAAACTCAGTCCATACTGGATTTTTCCTGTTGATTGTTGATAAAAATATATCTGCTGATATTTATTTTTTAAAGATCCCCTCCAGTCATGTATTAAGACATATATCCAAATACTCTGCTTGGAACAATAATGTGTGTCTGATATGTTTTTCACACAAAAAAAATCCTTCTACCTCATTAAAACTTCCAAAATCTCTGAATATGCAAATGTTCATTTCTAAAGTTTTCCTGCTGGACACAAGATGTCTCCTCCTTCACTGTAAAGTCCATTCTCAGTGGATGTGCACTGGTGGCTTCAAGTTTCTACATCACACTGTACAAGTTGATACTGGATCCGGACTGACTTCCTAACTATTTGTGATGTCACAAATCCTGCTGGTAGGCCCCGCCCCTTAAAATCAGATGTTCAGTGAGCACAGAGAAACTTTCCACTTTCAGCAGATGAATGTGAAAACATCCTTCTAGAGTCAAACTCTGCTCAGACAGCATTCAAACAGCACACTGTAGGGACAGGAACAAACACTGATTTCTGACTGGAGGGGAGCTTTAAAATAAACAGCACTGACAAAGAAACAAGTGGCTAAACTTTTCAAAAATGTAACACTAACAACAAACATAAAAGTAAATTTTAAGCCTTAGCTTGTGGCGAATCAACACATGGCTCATTTGAATATTAAAATTAGCCATGTGTTGATAGGTCACAACACGAAAATGTAACCAATGAAATTACTTATTTTGACACACATTTTAAGCCAATAAGTATTAAACTAACAAGGTAATGTGTCAAAAGGCGGACTGTTTTTGTTATTTTCTCAAAAGGAGGACAAATGAGTGTCCGGCTGCAGGACAGGGCATTTAAATGCGGACTGTAACAGGTTACATATTAATTTACATTTATTTTTTAGTTACAGACAAATTAGTTTAATACTCATTTGAATACACTGATTGTATCTAGTGCGCACTAGATAGTACTAGATAGTATCTAGTGCGCACTAGATAGTATCTAGTGAGCATTAGAAACGTTTTATTTTTTTTTTTTTTTCCCATGTCCCTTTAGGGGCTCCGTAAATTTCTAATAAAGTTTAATATTTAAAACTAACAGCTACAAACAAAAACACAAATACGCAAATATTTTTAATTTGAAATATGGAAACTAAGTAAAACATATAAAGATATATTAGATAAAAAGTTTAATAGGCTGCCTATTACACTTTTTATCTAATATATCTGTCTAATGTTGACTTAAACAAAATAATAAATACATTTGATCCTGACTTGATTTGATTTATTGTTATTTGTTGTGGCCAACAGTGTTTTAAAGCGGTTGAGCTGTTGTTGTTTTCATTTTTTTAGTTTTCTCATATTAACTCCTTCATTCATTTCTGCTGTCACACTAATGTAGGCATTGCAACGATATGAACATTTCATTTCACAATTATCCTTGGCAAAATATTGTGATTCATGATATTATCAAGATAATCACCAAAATAAATTTGCGCTAAAACATACTCGAATCACATTACATTTTCTAAAGAAACAAATATTTTTTATTGCATCACAAATCTCATCCCATATCCAACCGAGCTCACAGCCGTGGTGACAGGCTTTAAGGTTTTGGAATGAAGGGGCAGGATATTTAGGATTATGCTGATTTATGAAAATTCACCTTGGTAAACGTATCCATCTCTTTTCTGATATAGTGTAATATAATATCATATATTGCCCCATTACTACTATTTTACTCCAGTAATCTTTTACTTTTCTCTCATTCTCTTTCTTTCACCTTTTTATCTTTACACTCCCAATTTCCTCCTCCTTTTCTCCTCCTCTCTTTTTCTGTTTTCTCTTTCTGTCTCCCCCTACCCCTACAGGAGAGACGTTAAAGGAGCAGCAGGTTCCTCGTCACCTCCCCAAACCTTCCTCCTCCTTCTCATCCTCAACCAGTCGCCTCCGAGACTTCAAGGAGACCATGAGCAACATCATCCACAACCGACCCCTCTCCTCTTCTTCCTCCTCCTCTTTGCCGGCTGCCGTCCTCTCTGAAATCACCTCCTCCACCAACAACCACCACCACCCTACCAACACCACCGCTCCCTGCTCCTCCTCCAATAAACTGCATGACTGGGAGGCCGACAGCACCAGCAGCGAGTCCAAGTCCAGCTGCTCGGGGGGAGCAGGTTCAGGGAGGTACCGGCCAGCATGGAGGCCACGAAGAGAGGCGCTCAACATCGACAGCATCTTCAACCGTGAAAGGCGAAGACAGGCGGGTTACAGTCCGCTCGGAGCTTCCCTCCCCGACGACTGTAGCGTTCTGGCCTCTGAGGGAGCGGACGCCTCCCTCCCAGCACAGGAAGAGGTCAAGTCTGTCAGGCCGGGCTCCTCCTGGACTCTGCCCACCACCTCCAGCAGCCACAGAGGATTTGGAGTTGGACCGGGAGGTGGAAGGGGAAGTGCAGGAGGTGCAGAACTGCCTCCTCCGCCTCCCCCTCCTCCCAGACTGATTCAGAGGATGGAGAGTGGATACGAGAGCAGCGAGAGGAACAGCAGCAGCCCGGTCAGCCTGGACCTGAACCTGGGAGACAGGTTAGCAGACAGAATGTCCTGATCGGGTTCTTCTTCTATAGTATTTATGATTTAAATATTAACAGAAATTTAATTTGCAACAATTCAATATGTTTCAGTAAATACTTTAAGTCATTTGTTAATGTTTGTCCATAGTTTTTTCCACTTTTTTATATGAAAATAAACTGAATACCTTGGTGTTTTGGACTGTTGGTTAGACAACTATTTAAATCAACGAATCAGTGTTAATTCTGTTGACTAATAATTTGTCATAGTTTTTTAATCAATAAAATTCTTTCACTTTCACTGACAAAAACTAGATGATACCTATTGAGAATCTATTAAGAGGTCCAATCAGTATGAATCTCTGTGTGGTAGGGAGGTTATGCAACATTATTATATCAGTTTACCGTCCTGTTATCTCTACGACTACCTAATGAGTTTGGAAATTCTAGAGAAACATTTAAGTAATGCGTTACACTTTAACTAAACAACTAGATTTTGCAATAAATTTACTGTAGATTAAGTTGACTAAAACTATACTAACAATTCAGATGACTTAAACAAAATCAAAATTTTCTGTCAAAATGAATCCTGCAACAAATTCATTGATAACTGAAGTAATTGCTGGTTGCAATTATAGTTATTTACAGCTGCGTCCATCTCATACACACAGGTGGTCATGTCCTCATACAGTCATACAGTCATACAATCACGCCCACATAGCTCTGATTGGCTCAGACCAGAATCCCACAAAGTGTATCCTGTATTGCAGCCTCTCTGTGACATTAAGTGAAGCGTTCGTGCTGCGTCTACCCGTATGGATCCTGTGTTTTAGCTCAGGACGTCAGGCTGAAGGTGAACTGTGACTGAAGCCTGATGACAAATATTCTTTCTTTTCTCTTAAGGGAATGTGTTGTGAAGAAGACTTCATCCTCTTCCTCGTCCTCAGGACCGTCATGGAGGAACATTCGGTCGAAGAGCAGTGGAGCTTTGCTGCAGGACCTCAGCTCATCCAATAGGGGGAGCCTCGGTGTGTATGGGTGTGGGTGTGGGTGGGCGTGTACCAGAGTTGCAGCGGTATATCCGAAACCGTGGTATGAAAATTGACCGTTATCATACTCTGTACATTTGGAGCCACCCTAAATGACCACTGCGACAGTACTTCGACAGTCCTACGCCAGCCACCAGCTGTCATCATGACTTTGTGTGTGTATGTGTGTTGTAGCGCCCCCTGCAGGCCGCAGCGAGCTGGACGAGCTGCAGGAGGAGGTGCAGAGGAGAGCAAGGGAGGAGGAGCAGCAGCGACGACAGGAGAAGGAGAGGGAGGCGGCGCTTGGGTTTAATCCCCGACCAAGCAAGTACTTGGACCTTGACCAACTGCAGATCCAGGGTACATGTGCACGCAAACACACACGTCATACTTTGTTATATTTTCGTATTAATGTTCTCTTGGAAGAGAACAGGCCTAGAATTAAGTCATTTTTTGGGCAAGGCCACTTTGGCCTTCAATAAATACAAATGTATTGAGGCATCACAGCCAAAACTACTCAACGGTATATAAAAAAACCTGGACAGTCTGATGACTAAATGTCAGCTAAACCACTTTTGAACCAGACGGTGGTACAACCTCCTCAACTGCCGTCAACTGTGAATGACTCTTCAGCTGACAGCGTGGCAAAAGAGACACTGCGTAGGGTGCTGACATTTTATAACTGAACTGACACACACTTTTACTTTCTCTGTGATGAAATCTGATGTTTTCACATCACACATGACGAAGAAAGGCTCAGGTAGCCTCGTTTTTAACCGCAGGAATTATATTACATTACATAACTATACTTATTTAGTAGAGTTTAGTACGGAGCCCCTAAAGGGACATGGGGAAAAAAAAGAAAAAAAATTAAATGTTTCTCATACTCACTAGAAACCTTAGGTTAACCACAGGCTGTGCTTCCTGTGCGTATGCCTCTAGGCTTATTAACTGCGGTCAAGCCAGCCGTTACTCCGATCTCCATGGTCAAATCAGCCGCACAATTTAGAGTGTTATATATATATATATATATATATTAGTGTTATATTCTCAGTATTATGGTAATTGCAGAGAAACAGCGTATTCACTTCTGGTTTTCAAAATAAAGGTATTAAGAACAGTAAGCTATAATTCGGACCTACATTTAAAATAAAATATGTTACATTAAAGTGTTTCATGCGACCATGATGAATAAAAAACATACTTAATATCAAGCATTTTTACTGCACCAATGTGGAGAAATTCAACAATAAAAGTCCATATTTGTACAACCAACAACCGACGTTAGCTAACGTTACGTTCTCTGTCGCTGAGAGCTTGATTGACAGCCTGGTGGTAGCAAACGTTTAATTATTTTTTTTTCTTTCCCATGTCCCTTTAGGGGCTCCGTAGTTTAGTGTGCGGCTGAACGGAGAAAAAAAATAAGTGAATTGTCTAATCTTTGTATTGAACAGCCAAATCTGCTAAAATTTCCTATTAGCTTAGTAAGGTTCAGAGTGCACAGTGGGGTTGGTATTAGTACAGTTCATCTTCTACTTCTTCCACCTTTGGTTAGCACACCTACAGCGTTAACTGCACCTGTGTGTTACCAGCCGAGCCTTCCCCTTTAAGGAAGGTGGGCTTGTGGGTAACCTGTGTGTGTGTGTGTGTGTGTGTGTGTGTGTGTGTGTGTGTGACGTGTTAGTGATCACATTTTCTCTCTTGACGCGTGCTTCCAGCTCTTCAGCTCTAAACGTATTATTATAATGTACGTAAACCTCCAGTTTAATTTGAATTGTCATAAGCCTGACTCATAGGTGCTAACTGGTTAGCGTTAGCTTGTCACAGTCTGCTGTGTGAAGAGACACTGGGGAACATGAGTTTGTTCGTTTGCTGCCTTAGATGAAGTTTCAAATTAGGGAATCCACAACTTTCCTTTAAGGCTTCCAAACAGGGCATGCAAAACTGGCCATGTGGGCAGTTCATTTTAGAACGGGCATTAGAGCACTGGCCGTTTGGCCGTGGTATAATTCCTGCCCTGGTGTGTGCGTGTGTGGTCAGCATGTGTGTGTTGTGTTGGACAACAGGAATGTTCCTCATTGAGCAGCTGAAAGGGCCCGACTCAGCCGACACACAAAAGACAGAATGACCTATGCAGTAATAAAGCTACTGTGTGTGTATGTGTGCGTTCCCAGCTGCTGGCTGCTCTTCACTTTATAGCTGTATAATGTTGTTTGTTGTGGAGGTTTTGCAGAGGGAGTGATGCAGTTGTCGTAACAAGGCGATGATGTACATTTAAGTAGTGAGTGAGTAGATTTTCTAAGATTTTAAGCTGATTGTGAGTAGAACCTCTATTTCTGTTTTGCTTTCCGGCTCTGTCCATCAACACAGTTCTCCTAAGGTCCACTAGAACAGCAGCCCTGCTCCAGTAAAGCTCCAAAATGTGTGGTGAAGAAAGCCTGAATACATTCAATTTGGATTTATAATGGCAGGTAGTGGTGCTGAGCAGAAAGCACATTGTTCTGAATGCGGCGAAATCCTGTCAAATGAGGTCCAAAGACACTTCAACACAAAGCAGCCAGTCTGTGTTGGGGGGGGGTCTTCAGATACAACAGAGTTGTCACAACATTGACAACTCAGTCAAAATCAGCCGAATGTGGTATGACAAATATTTACAATACATATTTTTATTTTATTCTTTTATTTTTTTAGTAAGTAATTTTTTGGGCCTTTTCATGCCTTTATTGGATAGAGACAGCTGAAGATTGACAGGAAAGGTGGGTAGAGAGAGAGGGGCCACTGCAGCAACTCCGTATATGGGTCACCAGCTCTACCGACTGAGCTAACCAGGCACCCATGTATTTTTTATATTTTTCTCATTTATTTGGTGAGGTGGTCCTGAACGGGAGTGATCAAAAGCACTGAATCAGAGAAATTAAACGTTATTTTCTGCACAACCCTGCAGAAGGTGCACAGATTTTGTGCTGAAGCTGCACTGTCTGCTGTGTGCAGCTCAGCCCCGCCCTCACTCAAACAGACACACAGCTGCAGCTCTTTATACGTTCATAGTCTGCATAGACCACCACACTTTGTTTTAGCACTGTGTGAGAATTCAGTAGAAAGAATCTACTCACTATGTTTGTAATGAGTCCTGACCTCAGACCCTGTGCGCTGCCTAAAAGTTGACGTCCAGAAACACAGCAACATAAGAAAATATTGGCAGGGTCTCTGCAGATACAGACACCTAGACACACTACCAGTTTCAGGGTTTTGTTTTTTAGAAAATTCCTACGTAGTATGTCTTTAAGTTACACAAGGTTGAGAACCCCTGGACTAAAAGCTGCTCCAAGAACACACTGAATGTATTGAAGTGAATGGGGAAAACCCTCAACTTTTCTCTACAAATACAAGTAATTGAGGTCTTTACAGATGTTCATCTCTCAGTAGATAATATTGAAAATTTCTCCTGATGTCCATCTGAGAGTAGATTATTGTTCCATTGTGAAAATATAAAGGAGCATGTTTCTCTCACACTGACTCCTGCTCCGGTGCTGCAGAATCATTAAGTGTTTGTGTGTCTCGATCCTGCAGGTAAAGGTGACAGCTTTGAGCGATGCGTGTCAGAGGCGGAGCTTCTGCTGGACCAGTCTGTGCGTCTGGAGCAGGCGGGCGAGGTCGCTGCTGCACTGTCAGCGGTCAACGAAGCAGTCTGTAAGCTCCTCCTACTCCCCCTGACCGCCTCCTCCACTTTACACCCACATTGCCTGCCTGACACTCACACACACTCACTCGCTCACATCACACACACACACACACACACACACACACACATGCATTCAGTATGTCATACTTACCAAATGAACACTGAATGAGGTCACCACACCCCGCCCACCATCCTTCTGCTTGGTTGCTATTGGCAACCAGAGGCAGCACAGTGGCCTGCTGATAACTGTTCCACATCAACCACTGAGGTCCTAACATGTTTGTGTGTTGCTGAAGATTGTTCACACACACACACACACACACACACACTCACTCTGAACATTGAGACTCCCCACATCTCCCTCTCACATTTCTTTTGATCTGTCAGTCATACTTAAACTCACACACACACACACACACACACACACACACACACACACACACACTGTCTCTCTCTCTCTCTCTCTCACTGCCTCGTTCAGCTTCCACCAGACTGTCATCACTGCAGCAGTCTTTCATCCACAAAAACCTGACAGCTGATTAAAAATGGACAAAGAAACACAAAACAGAGAGATTAAAGAAAAGTGTCAAATATCAAAATTTAAGGAAACAAAACATCAAGACGAGAAGACGGCCGCTGAATCGAAGGATTTTGAGGATCTTTAAACCTTGTCTCCTCCAAATGAAAGCCCATCAGTGCAGTGTCACTTTCCAGTAGCTTCTCTTTAATTTTGATGCAGGACTGTACTTTAAAGGTTCCAGTTTATTTATTGGGTCTTATTTGGATAGTTTAGTCAATCATTTCTATCAATCAACATCTTTAAAAAGAAGTTCAGTGAGCACTCACAGAATTGCACAGGTTGAAAACAAACCGCCACCTGCGCAGCGTGAAGTGGATGTGAATGTCGGATTGTTTCGGAAAGTCACAGAAAAAGGCCTCCACATTGCAGACATACTTACCAACCCCTGTGGTGACATCATCTTTGGCTTGCACACCATTGGGCTGGGTGACACAGCACCAAGCGTTTAACCTTGTTAATAGTTTAATTCAAGCATCGTCTTATCGGCCTGTCATATCGGAAGAAATTGCTGATGTTTAATTATTAAGCTTTTATTGGCCGATAACAGTGACGTGCCGGTATCATCGTGTGTGCTTAAACTACAGTATGTACGGTAGGTCAAAGTTGAAGCAGAAGCAGGAAGTGAGTCTGTGAACTTACAACAGATTCATACTTTTATCGTTAATTTTCTCTTCCAAATGTGTGGAACCTGTCAGTTTGTTTGCTGATAGGGAGATATCACATATGTGTTCACAGCTCAGATATGGACTTGTACAATGTTAGTACTTTGTTAGTATCAATCAATCAATCAATCAATTCAATTTATTGTCCTCTAAGGGGGAAATTCATGTCCACATCACTGCACCTGCAGGCAACACCATACACTCAGCAAAGAAACACGCTATCCACAATTAACAAATCTACAGAAAAAAAACAAACAAACAATTAAATGAATAATATATGACAGGTTACACACTCAGCGCGCCCCTTTGTTTAAAGCAGCAGTAGCTGCAGGGATCAGGCTTTTTCCATAGCGAACTTTCTTGCACCTCAGTGTTCGATACTTCTGTCCAGAAGGCAGTGGGGTGAGATATTGATTGAGTGGGTGTGTAATGTCCAGTTCTATATTGGTTGCAATACGTGAGATGGCCCTGTTGTTTAGTCCTGTGAGATTGGGTGTGGGGAGTCTGATTATCTGGGCCGCTGTGTTGGTGATGCGTGTGAATTTTGTCCGGTTGGTGACAGTTAGCATGTTGTAGAAACAGGAGGAGCAGTATATGAGGATGGGCTGGATGATACTTTGATACAGTAGTAGGAGAAGATGGGGGAATTATGAGGATGATGGACAACACTAATAAATAAGACCCATGCTGTACTGAAGTGGAACCCTTTAACCTGACAGTTGGCTTTGAGTTAGTTTGGCCCGACATTTTTGGCTGTAATTTTGTTAATTTAACGTTCTGTCTGAATATAATTTCACCATTTCATCACTGAGAGCCAAAGCTGAGTTATTGATCTTTTAATACTGTTATTTCTCATGCCTTCCATTCCCATAAAACTCACACAGACACACATACACTCACACACGGTCACATCACCATCATGTCAGCAATCTGATTTTCTATCAGGTGTATATTTGCTTTTTAAGATTTTTGCATGAAATCATCATAACAGATTATTTTCTGCATCTTCCTTTTCTTTTCTTTTCCTTATTTATTCTTTCCTCTGTTTTTTTTTTCTTTCTGTTGTGTATTTTCTGTTGGCATGTGACCTGGCTGCAGCCAAACTGCAGCTGGTGGCGTCTGAGGGCGGAGCTAGTAGTCACAGCCGGCTGCAGCGCTGCATGAGGAGAGCCCGCAGCCTGCAGCAACGCATGCAACTGCAGCAGCCGCAGGATTCAGAGGCAGGCAGACAGCAACCGCAGCAACCAGAGCAACAACAAGAGGAGGGGCAGCAGCTCCAGGAACAGCCCAGGTACCGCCTGTAGTCTGCTCAGCCAATCAGAAGTCCTGTAGCATTAGCACTTAACGTCATGTGTATACAGTATTTCAGCTGTGAAGGCTTCAAATACATTCTGTCTCTATTTTAGACATTTTTGACAAACTGGCAAAGCTGCCAAATGATTCTCATTTAACATTTTAGAACTCACTTTCTTTAAAAAAGTCAGATAAGAAAATGGATATTAATCTCATGTCTGTGTGTATCCATCCATCCAGTACTCCTGCACAGTGGCTCCAACCATAGTGCAGGTTTCCCAAGTTTTGATTCTGGTCTCAACATGGACTTGAAGTCCACAGCCTTGTTTAGACCTGTTATTAACACGTGTCTTGGATGATCCCATCACAAGTGGACAGCTCAGGTGGGAATGCACCCGAGAGGCATTGAGGATGCCTCGAGATATGATTGGTCAGACATTTGTAGGTGGTCTGGGCCGCATGTGACCACATTCTTTTAGCAGTGTGTACGCAATGTGCCTCACTGGAGGACCTCCTACTCAACTGATGTTCTTTAAGTACTCAGGAAACACACTCTGATTTCCATTTGGTTCACGGTAATGCAAATGACATGTTTGGGCTCTATTATATGCCACAATAGGCAGCAGACGTTTGAGAACACACTGTTTGAACTGATTTCACCATTGAGCTAGTAACAGCAAAATCCCCAGATTCCCTGAAAGAAATCACACAATTTTGAGAGTTTTTGAGTGAAGAGAGAACGCTGTCTACGACTAGATCTTAATTCATAATTATTTAAAATTTATAATTATTTTTTCTTTGCAAATGTTATACATTAATTTATTTCTTTATGATGAAAAAATTGTGTCTGTTTGTCCCAGCATGTTCACTTGAATTCTGCAGTTGAGACACTTCATGGTCCGAGCACCCACTTTTACTCTCTTTGACTCTGGCCTTCATGCTTTTTTTGTCATCTGTGATGTGAAACCATCATATTTTCCACACATTCAAGTAAAAGTGTGTTCTGTTCATTTAGTAGTGTATATATAAAATCCCACAGTGCAGGTAAAACTGAAAAGAACAAATAGTCAAGTCTTCATACTGAGCAGCCAACTGGGAAGTAAACAAAATTATGTGTAGGTTACAGTCCTATAGTGTTGATTTGCATATAGAGAAGGAACTCGAGACACATGTGGAGACTCATTTTAATGCCAGGTGGATCTGACTGGCAGCAGGGTTGTATGTTAGGCTGCACCATTTACAGCTACAAGTAAGGAAAGTGTAAAGGAGTGAGCGAGAGCTGAGGTGGAAGATGACTCACAGGGCAGGGACTGACCGGGTTTTGTTCTGGATGTCTGCACAGGGCTTGAGGAAGCTGCAAACAGTAACTGCACCGACTGTTGTTTAACAAGAAACAGTTCAGCCAGTCACGATGAGCAATCAAGAGGTTAGGTGTTTGTCATTTTGATGTTAAAACTCTGCTGTGGTCAATAAAAAACAGACAGCAACCTGCAAATTCAGCTGAACGATATCAGTAAAGATGCCTTTGCTGTGTAACATACAGTCAACCCACGATTCAACACAATTCACAATAGTGGGTTCACAATATGATTTTCCCACAATTTATTTTACAGAATGAGATTGAGAAATTCAGCCTTAATTTCAGAAATCTACAAAATAAACAATGTATGTTTCATCTCTTTGTAAAAGTGAAACTAAAAGTATAACCCGTCAATTATGGAAAAATCTTTGCATAAAAAAGAAAATATCTCTTGCCATGTTTTATCTTCTTACATTGAGGCCAAAAAGCTCCACAACCCCAATTTTGAACAGGGTGGTGAATCCTCAGTTTCATGTCTTTGCACCTTGGTACAACCACTGACGCAGGAGATGTAGGATGTCGGACAAGCAAAATCAAAAGTAGATAGCAAACGATTCATTTTTCATCCAGCCAATTTGAATCTTAACATATTTTTAACCTAATTTAGCTGTCCTGCGATATATTATTACTTAGTACTTTCCTAAAATGTGTGTTTTCAAAAGTAGGTTACTGAGTCTTCCTTCTCTATCATTATGTCAACTCCACATGGTATCTCTGCAGCTCCAACATGGACTCTGGTAGCTACATGCATAGCCACTAAAGCAACACTGTAACCTTCTCTCACAACTATAAACTATGTCTCGACCAGTGTGTGAGAGAGAGAGAAAGAGAGAGAGAGAGAGAGAGAGAGAGAATTGGCAATGGCAATCTAGCAGGACCATGGCAGGAGGCTCCACCAGGATCGATAAGAACATGCGAGACGAGAAAGCACAAGAACTCCGGGGAAGAAGTGAAGTTAGTAACATGCATTAATGGGACATGAATGAGTGCAGAAAGAGAGAGGAAGGGAGGAGCTCAGTGCACCATGGGAAATCCCCCGATAGTCTAGGCCTATAGCAGCATAACTAAGGGATGGTTCAGGACTCACCTGATCCAGCCCTAACTATAAGCTTTATCAAAGAGGAATGTCTTAAGCCTACTCTTGAATGTGGAGAGGGTGTCTGCCTCCCAAACCACAACTGGAAGCTGGTTCCACAGGAGAGGAGCTTGGTAACTGAAGGCTCTGGCTCCTGTTCTACTTTTAGAGACTATAGGAACCACAAGTAGCCCAGCATTCAGAGAACGTAGTGTTCTAGAGGGGTAATAGGGTACTATGAGCTCTTTAAGATATGAAGGGGCCTGACTTTCAAATAGTGACTGTAACGAACTCCGCTGTCTGTACGGTGCGAGAGGGTGGGAGTAGGTTGCAGCAGTTGTCGTGACAACAGGCTAATTCAGTGGATGAACCATGATGAGAGGAAACAACCTCTGAAACACACACACACACACACACACACACACACACACACACACACACACACACACACACACACACACACACACACACACACACACAACCAGCCCTGTGTTTAGCCGGAGCTCTCGCATGACACCATCTGTTCCAAACATACTGCAGGCCCACACACACACAGCTAACCTGCCTCTCTCTCTTTCTGCAGTGAAAAGCCTCTCTCGCTCCAAATACTTCTGACGGGGAAGCAGGGCAACCAATCAGCTGCCAGCCAGGACCAGCAGGCCCCACCTCTCTCTCCCCACCTTGTTAAGCCCCTCCCTCCCAAAACAAACTCAGTGTCTGACCCCGCCTCCAGCGCCGCAGCTCCTATGGGTTCATCCAGAGAGGACCACAATACCGCGGGGCCCCTGCTCTCGCTTCGGGAAACCCCTCTCTAACACCAGGTCCCTTCCTGCCCTGTGTGTGGACACCTGGGATCAGAGCCCCCTGGAAGACTTGGTTTCACCCCCTCCACCTGAGGAGGTAGACCATCCCGCCCAGTGGACTAGAACAACACCCCCTGTCTCCATCGCAGCACAGGCCCCGCCCCCACCCAGGCCGTATTCCCAGACTCCTTCACCTGTTGGCACCAACGATAGGTGTCATCTGATGATGGAGGAGGAGCAATTTTACACCAGACACCCACAGACCACGCCCCCTATATCTAACCCCACCTCCAGACTAGCCCCATCCCCTTCTGGCTACCCGACCAGGAACTGGTCCTGCTTACACCTGGACCAACCTGATCTTGTTGATTCTTCCATTGACCCACCAATCAAATCGCCGCTTTACTCACCCCCAGACTCCACATCCAGCACCCCCCCACCTCCTGTGAGCCGACCAGTTCAAACCTCCTCCCCGCCCCCCAGCCAGGACTACAGAACGGCCCTCCCTGTGGAGCGTTGGGCGGAAAATGTCAACAGATACTACGGCTCCCAGAATGCAACAGGAGGAGGGGCAGCAGCAGTGCCTGATGAGGAGATTTCGGAGCTGGACTCGCTATACCAAGCCAGTCTGCTGGCTCCCAGCATGCACCGGGGCAGCCGTGGAGTCAGTCCTCAGCCAACCAGCAACAAACCAGGTAGGACCTGCAGCAGCTCAGGGGTCCAGACCTCCAAAAATGGATGAACTAAGAAAGTCCTCCAGCCTATCACAACACATGACTGCTCTCCAGCACTAATTCCATCTCTGATTAACTGCAGATTATTATTTAAGATAGAAAGTTAAAATAAATCTGTTGTTTAAATCTGTGTTTCTGGATTTACACGTTACACAACAGCAAACACTAATTAGAGCTGAAATGTAACTACTGTTACTACTGCATCTACTGTTCATAATATTATGTGTGTGTGTGTGTGTGTGTGTGTGTGTGTGTGTGTGTGTGTGTGTGTGTGTGTGTGTGTGTGTGTGTGTGTGTGTGTGTGTCTCTGTCGGTGTAGGTGGGTGTGAGGAGAATGCTGTCAGGATCTGGACGGTCCAAAACACCAACGGCTGAGATAGAGAGATATGCCTACAGAACGCCGGTCACACCACTTCATAAGGTGTGTGTGTGTGTGTGTGTGTTGTGTGTGTGTGTGTGTGTGTGTGTGTGTGTGTGTGTGTGTGTGTGTGTGTGTGGATAATTATTTTACACTTGTTCAGTGTGATCATTTCCTAAAGCTGTTTCACAGCTGTCAAACTGCTACATGATCACAGTTCCTGTTGTTAATGTCTCAGCACACTCACTGTGGTCTACGTGTGACTTGAGTTTAAATAACATCTGAAGAAGTCTGAGGTAAATATTCTCAACATGTACTGTTAAATAACTTATTAGAGCAGAGAAACTACCCCCACATAGCTTTTGGTTGCTCTACAGATGTGGTGATTTAATGTCCTATTTTCTGCTCTGCTTCTTTTAGTTAACTTTTTGTAAAAAAAAAAACTGATACTCTTAACTTTCTGCATGTAGTTCACAATAAATGCATTTGGGGTTTTTATTTCCAGCATTTGTTTGATTATGATTCTGCTGGCATTTCTTAAACATTTTTAGAGATGGATGTAAAAAACTTTTGAACCTTTGATACCAGGAGGGAAACAAGTATCTGGAATGTCTGGAGTATGTAGTTACACTGAAAAAGCCTGAGGGTGGACGGGTGCTACAGTTTTCTGAAGTTTCTGAAAATGTTGTCTCATGTTGACGTCCGTGCAGCCGCCGTCAGGTGAAGACGAGAGCTACACCGCAGAAAACCTGCGACGCATCACCCGCAGCCTGAGTGGAACAGTCATCGGGTCTCGACCCCAAAACCTCGGCCCCTCCCGTAGCTGTGTAAGTTACACACACCTACACACCTACACACCTACACACCTACACACATACACACATACACACCTACACACATACACACCAACCTACACACATACACACCTACACACACACACACACACACACACACACACACACACACACATTACAAAAACACACAGTAATCTTGATCCAGCAGCTGGGAAACACACCAGCTGTGTGTATGTTTATGTGATCACTAGTCCCCATCATCACCATCATTATCATCATCATCATCGCCCTCCAGTATTTGTTGTATTTAACACTGTGCTGCCACGTTGTGTTTGTGTGATGTAACTGCAGCCTGGATTAGTTTCTGCTCCTCATCCAGATGGACAGCTCTTCTCTAGTTCTCCGGCTCTGATAATTGTATGTACAGAACAACAATGACAACAACACACCTCACACCTAAAATACTTAACCTTGCACTTACAGGATTTATAGGACTCAGTGTATTAAAGGCTGATTCTGTTCTGTGGGGGTCCACTAGAGAAAAAGGTTGGGAACCACCCCCTTCAAGCCTTTTTAACCTCTCTTTGCTTTTTAAATGAGGAACACCTGATGACTTTTTATGTGTTACTGCTAAAATGGTATGAAAATAAAAATGTAGCATCGTTCTGTAAAACTGATTTGGAGTGTTGTACATGGCATGTACATTTATAACAGCATCTCTTCTGAGTGAAAGCCTGTTAAAACTCTTCTGTTATGTGAAGCAGCTTTCCCCTCCGAGTGCCTCCTCTCTGCTGCCGCTGGCGTTTAGCCATCTTGTATTCATCCCTCAGGAATCGCCTCAGGCCAGCGCATTAAAGATTGATCACTGATTTAGCTCTTCTATTAAGCTTTTAACCTCGGCGCTCACTGCCTGATCTGTACCGACAGCTGAGGTTTGAATCCAGAAATCACCGTCAAATCCTCCCAACTCCACTGTCTGTGGAAGGAATCCTGATGTTTTGGTGTGTTGGAGGGTTGATTGCAGCTGTAACACCTTCTGAAACATTCAAACTCACATGGGTAAAGTTACTAAACCTGCGGTCAGTGATCATCATAAATAATTCTAAATAATAAATAATTGTTTCTTTACTAAAGAAATTACCCTATACCACAATTATCATTTATAGGTCACAAAAATGTTTTCATTTATAAAAATGTACCACAGACATACCAATCATAAACACGCCGGGTCCATGACTACATTATTACAGAGGTTAAAGGACTGCAAAGATTAACAAGAACCAAAAGGATGGATAGACCCTCCACTGCCTTAGAGCTCCAGTTTAAAGTGATTTTCATTATAAACGCAGCAATAATCAATACTTTTATAACAACAACATGAAATAACACTGTGTTGCGTGTCTCTGGTACTGAGTGTTCAGCTGACTGTGCAGCTCCCCTGGGCTTTACTGAGCTTTATAGGGAGTTTCAGCTCATTGTTAATCTGTTCTGCTTCACTCAGCGCTCCTCGTAGTGTCGTTTTCAGAGAAAAAGCTGTAAAAAGCCACTGTACACTACCTGCTCAACAAGCAAACAGCCAACAGAGTGCATAGTGGAGCATTTAGCAAGAGACAGATAGTTGGTGGAGACCAAAAACAGAGCTAGAGAGAGTGAATATTGGACTTGCACTAATCAGGTGACACAAGCACGAATGAATGATGGTGTTGCTCTGTAACTGCTGGATGTGGAAACAAGCAACTGTTAAACATATCAGATTAAAGGGAGATGATTCAGTGAGTCAAGAATCATGAAAATAAAGTTGCATCTTAGAGATACAAAGTTTTCTCAGGAGTTTCGATCTCTTTCTTTAGTTCTATTGGATGTGATCTGTCATCTTTCACAGTTGTCCCTCCATCATGTTAACTTGTTTTCATTTTTTACTCCTCCTATTTTCTGTTTTCTTTCTTCTCTCCATCCTTTTATTTTCTTCTGTCTTCTCTCTCTACTTAATCTCATCTATCATCTCTCGCCTCATCTCCTTCCTCCTGTTTCGTTTGTTTTACTCCTCTGCTCCTCCTCCACCATCTTTATGTATTCTGCCTCCATCATCATCTGTTCTCCTCCTCCTCCTCCTCCTCCTCACCCTGAAGGACCCCTCTGTGTCCAGGCCCCCCCTCAGACACGCCGACCTTCACTCCTCCTCCCTCCTCCGTCGCCCCAGCACCTCCTCTCTGCACCTTCCTTCCTCCACCTCCTTCACTACAGATCCCTCCTACCTCCACCACCTCCAACACCAACACCACCTCCACCTCCAACCCCGACACCACGGCCCCTCAGCTCCTGCACCTCCTCCACAGCACCCCTCCTTGCAGACATCACGGGCCCCGTGCTCAGGCCTCTCATCCTGGGGAAACTCAGGTAACCTGCTGGTCCTCCACCTCCACCAGCACCACCAGCACCACAACAACCAACACATCATAGTTACTGTGGGGCCTCACAGCAGGAAGATCCTTCAGCTTCACAAACAAACAGTTTTCATTTCTTTTATTCAGGAGGTGAAGTTGAAGGTGTAAACTGAAGATTTAAATTTATGGAGGTTATGACCTCTGTATTGTTTTCTGGGACTTTAGAGGTTTTAGCACCTTGAAGGTAAATAGATAAATAAATTCCTGTTTATCCAGATACTTTTCATTCCTGGGAGTGTGGAGAAGGATTTATAGATTATACACAATCAAGGTGATAGATTGTAAACATACTATCTATAATCCTGTCAACCTGATTGTCCATACTGTCATTTTACTATGTTGGTCCATGCCATGGGTCTCCAACCTTTTTTAAGAGTGAGGCAATAGAATAACATAATGGTGTGTATTTTCATATACAGGGTTGAACCAGTTTGATATGGAATTGGGAGTGTGGCAGTATTTTTTTCTCTGGTCGTGGTTTTAAAGCCTGCAAGTTCCCAGAGACAACATGAAGGACTTTGTGTCTTTGGTGGACAGGATTTAGACTCTGAAGGTGCCTCCTGAATCATGGAGGTTTCCCAACTTGAACATAACCTGACTGTACCAGATGGTTTATCAGATGGACTCATCTGGGAAGTCGTTGTTGGAAACTGTTTGGAAAAGGGCAGACTGTCTGTCATGGGGGAACTTCAACCAATCAGATCAATGAACCATATAGTTAAAGTGAGTAGTCAAACTCATAACAAAGCCTGTTGGGAGAAGAGAGAAAAACATCTTTTCCATCGAGAAAAGCCTTCAGTGCTAACAGTCACTTCTCACACACGTTTATTTAGGACATGTGACTGTTATTTGTAGCTGATTGGCTGAGGGGGACTACACTGTCAGTGTATTAAGTTTTGTTTAGAGCTCTTCTGCATTGTGTTCTAATTGTTTTTCCCACTCTTCACTCCCCCCCCAGGACCTGGACCCAGCATCCAGCAGCAGTTTTTGGTTGTGTCTGACGGGCATCAAGCTCTCTCAGGTCAAAGCCTCCACAGCGTCGCGCTGAATTACGGCACTCTGCCCCGGGCTCCTCGCCGAGCCCCGCCTCCCTCCTCCTCCACCACCTCCTCCCTTCCCAGGCCCAGAGCCGGCTCCAGCCCTGCCCTACCACCGGGTCCACAGAGTCTCTACGCCACCCTGTCCCACCCTCGCCGCTCTGCCAACTCCGCTACCACTAACGGGCACTACCGCCAACCATCGCTGCCCAGTAAAGTCAACGGGTCGACCCTCTATGCTCCACACCACTTCCGGGTGTCAGGGGAGGGGCCCCCCCAGCCGCTCCGCCTGGATGTGCCCCCTGAGAGCGACTGGCGGCGTGACTCCGACTACAGGACTCTCCAACCCAGCTCCTCCCGGGACCCCCGCACTGTTCGCCAACCCCGGACCCTTCAGCGAACCAACCAGCTTCCCCCGGCCCGGCCCCGCAGGGACCCCCAGCTCTGCTCACTCTGCCAGCAACTTCCTGCTGAGCCGTCACGCCCCTACTGCCCGTCCTGTGGAGCTTACGTGGCTCGGTTCCGGCCAGCCAGCTGATCGGGCCCGAGGTTCAAGTAAAGGAGAATGACCAACCCCCCCCATCTGACCCCCCACTTTAATTATTGCTACTGCAGATGCCACAATAGAAGAGTCCAGAAGTGTCATATCCACCGTTACAACAGTGACGTTTCTCCTTTGTGTTTAAAATGTGCCAACGTGTGTTTAAACTCAGTGCTGCCAACAGCCTTCGTCTTCATGCTGGTGGATATCTCACTCTGGAATGAAACTCTCTGATTGGCCTCGTGGTCTGCAGGAAACAAACAAAGATCGTCTCGCAGGAATCTGCCACTTTAACGTCTCATCTTCACAGCATCACTCTGCATGTTTGGTTCCCAGCTCGTCTCTCCTGGTCCTCCTCAGTCTGGACGCCCGCCACACAAGATAATCCCACAGACAGAGCTCCTAAACAGTCTATGAATGTCTGCTGAATTTAAACACATTTAGATTTCTAATCAAGACAAAGCACCATGATACCGACCAGGATCACAAGACAGAAGCTGGCAGGTAGCAGAGGACACTGCTGCTGACCTGCTGTCTGTTCAACTGTTCAGTTCAAAAACTGAGAAAGAACAGATACATCAATAATCAATAAATGAGTAGGAAACTTTTTCTTCATCCACTTGCTGTCAGATTTTTAAACAACAGAAGCAACAAAACAAACCAGAGCAGCAAATATGTTGACTGAATTAATATAAAACCCACCCTTGATGGTCTCTGAGCAGAAGAAACTCTGCATCTGTTTTATTAATCAGTTAATTGTTTTAAGTTATTTTTCAAGCAAAAACATTTCTTTGTTCTCACAAGAAAATTTGCCACTTTTTTTGTCTTAATGATCGTAAACTGAATCTCTGAGTTTTGGACACATGAAGACGTCACCTACTGTTTCAGGATGTTGTTCCTCGTTTTCATCATCAGTTAATCGTTCGGTTTATAAAATACCAGAAAGCAATCTGTGTTTTGCAGCGTAATGTGACTGGAGAAAGTCTCAGTTTGGTTTGTCCTCATCTGTTTAAACGTTTAGTCAGCTGAAACATTTCTGCTGAGTCACATCTCACCTGTGGGGATTTATCTCTCAGTCTCAGAAATCAAAGAGGAATTAGGTTTGACTTGTTGAAACTGTAAATTGCTTCCACAGAATAATATTTACTACTTTGCTCTCTCAAAGTTTATACTCATAATTCATTTATTTAAACATATTTCCTCTTATGTGATTTAAAATGTCAACATTTATTTTGAAAGAAAAAAATAATAATTTACTTTAAATATAGCCACAAGCAGCCATTCCAGGTTCAGCCCTTCAGGGCTGGAGTTATGTTACCATCAAGACAGAAAATATGATGAGTGCATCAGAACCAAGATACCAACCAAAGTGTGGAATGTTTGTTGATTCTGTGGCAGCAGTTTCTGGATTGTGTAGGGCTGCAACTAACACTTTCATATTGATTCATCTCAAATTTCTCAATGAATTGGTTTATTGTTAAAAATGGTGAGAGCCTGAGGTTTATCTGAACCAACAGTCCAAAGCACAAAGATATTCAGTTTACTGTCAGGGACAACAAGCCAATCTAGAGTGCTGCAGGAATGAGTCCTAAAACCCAGAACTGAGTTAGCATTTTTGCACGTCTGGTTCCCTCTAACCTTTTTTGGTTAGATGCTTGAAATAATGTCTGTGGTTAACACAAGCTTCAGAGATGTTTATGTTTTGTTCTCCAATATAAAATACATCAGTAAATACCCCAGCTGTGAACGCTTCCGTGTCTTAAAGGCGGTTGCTAACAGTTGGCTAAATGAGACTACAGAGGTTGTCTGTGACACTAAACGACAGCACAGCGACCACTTCAAGTTGTTGGTTTGTTGATAGCCTAACGTTAGCTTTTTACTTCTGCCGATCGCATTTACACTTCAAAAAGTTTGTTTTCCACAGAGTTTATTTTCTGCAATGATCCAAAATCCAATGGAAAAATCCCACTGGCTTTTTGTAGAAGGAACCAGGACGATGCTAACTGGGTTGGCCTACAAAAATACGTCCTCCCTGCAGCTCTCTATTCACCGTTTGTGACGCTCAAAGTCACTTTCTGACATTTTTAAATGATTAAGTAATTATAAATAAGATAGTGGCCAATTGGAGTTGCAGATAACTGAGGAGTGGCTTCAGCTTTAGTTTCTGACAGCAGGTGGGAGAAGAGGCAGTCGGTTTCAGAACCTTCAGTTTGACTGGGTGTGTGTGTGTGTGTGTGTGTGTGTTTGTGATGTTTTGAGTGAACAGACGGCAGCTGAATCTAAACAGGAAATGAAGGACGTCGAGACGCGACAGAGAAGAAGCTATTCTGCTGTTTGTCTCAGACTTTGAATATAAATCTACTCTACTTATTGCTCTATTTATTTTTGTAGGCTTGTCAGACTGAGTTGTGCATAGATTAACTAAACTATTCTACCAGAATATACTCTACTATAGACCTGATCTAATTTTCTAAATAGTTAGTCGCCTTGTTTGGGATGTGGAGCCTTCTTATATTGTACACGAGGCAGCGCATTAGAGTAATAACTAAAGCTTTTATTTTGACAGAGTTGCAGCTAATATTTAGCATGATGTTTTCAGACGTATTATAGCCTTGAGACTTTGGTGTACATTTACTGTCATGATGATATATGCAGATCTTTTTTAGTGCACTTCAGAAGTGTTGACGGTAGATTTCTTTTTGTGCTCATTGCTGATTTCCTTTGACATCTCCGCCGTTGTTCAGGGAGAAGCTTCTCGCTTTTCGACTTTAGATCAGTTTCATAGATTTTGAGGGAACACCTTAAAAACCAGAATGCTGTTTGATAACAGACCTCTCCTACTGCCAAGAACCCAGTACTGACCCCGCCCATCTGGTGCTCCAGGTGAGCTAAAATAAAAAAACCCAAGTCTGGTCTGAAGTCAAACATTTATTTTAAATCCTTTCAAGATATTGATCATTACAATAACCAATTTTTCACTTAAGTACTAAAGAGCTAAATAGGAATTGATCATTTCATCTGGATTTAGCTTTGATGTCGCTCAAACTGAGGCCTCAAAAACCAAAACTCATCTGTTCTTTTCAGAATAAAATCAGAATTTCATTTAAGGCTTAGGTTTGTCCGTTCAGACCAGGCCTGAGTTCAGAATAACACAAAGTGTCAATGATTCAAATGAAGAGAAGTTATTTTTTCATCATGTCAAAGTAGTTTTTTGGCTTTTTGCTTCGCCAGATTTTATTTTGTTGATTTTGGTATATTTTTGATGCTTATTTTTCTACACAGTAGACTTAACAGAGATGATGATTAAAATGTTTAAAGGAAAAGTTCAGTGTGTCTTTCATTTTACTGTAGTCTCTAAATGTGAGCAGAGAAGTGTCAATGTCTGGGATTATTATGTGTGTCCACCGGAGGGCGCTGACAAATTGATTTTTACATGCTAAAGTGTTCAGTACAGATCTACCTTGAAGTGATACCTATATAAATGTTGTTTGTTTATTATAAACCCAAAAAATCTTAAATATTGTTATTGGCCTCCAAAATCCAATATCAGTCATGCAAAAGAATGAGCTTTGAACCTCTATCTGCTGATGAAGATCATGTCATATGATCAAAAGCTCCAGAACAGCTACTGAACTGGACTTTGAGGTGAGATTGTGTTTATGCTCAGATCATTTATTTATATTTATTTTATTTACATTTGAACCTGCATCAGTTAAAAATGTCAACAGTTTAAGAATGGGTCAGAAGTGACACGAACGCATATTAGTAATTCTATAAATGTCCGCAGTCTCATTGTTTTATCCCCTCGCAGACTTGAACTGATAACGGTGACAAGGAATCAGGCGAGGAGGCTGATCTGAATTTGTGTCCAATGAACATCTGTAATCCTTCAGACAGGGATCAATGAAGTACTCAGATCCTCGAGTCTAACAGGACAGAAAACCTTAAGAACCCTCAGGAAGAGCCACAAGTGTCAGCAGTGTACAACAGCTAGCGTTCGCTTGTAATTGGAGTCTGATAACAATAATGAGCGGCACCCACCACGACTCAGACCAAAACTAACGGGAATGGTGGACTCCGCCACCAACAATGAAAACTACCATATAGAACAGTTACTTGAACATTTTGTTTCCCGTTTTTCAGCTAACCAAATTTCAGGGACACAGATCAGGTTAAATGTGGTCCTACTAAACTTGAACTAATGACGTTTTTTTATGTGTCAAACCCCTAAAAAGAATCAGGAACAAATTAATCTACATTTCTCTTTGTTTCTCTGTGTTTGCAGTGTTGTAACATCATACAGTGACAGTGGCTTTTATATAAACACATTTATCTCTTTGTTTACACCATTTTCAGGATTAACACACGGCTCAGCTGTTCCTTTATATAAATATATATTGCTCTGTGTGTTTTTACGTAATTATATTGATATTTTACAAACATTAGTCACAGGTGACTTTACATACAAAAATGTACTTTGTGTAAAGTAAAAACATCCCTTCAAAGACACAGATGATGAATTTCAGTTCAGTTTTACAGTTTAACTTTTTTAAATCATCCAGATAGAAACTGGTTTACAGCAGCATATTGTTTTCTTCTTTTGTATGGTTATTAAACAGGACTTTAGGTAAAGTGACACTGCAGGGTCAACAGCACATCTGCCAATCAGAGTTAAAGGTCCAGTTTGTAACATTTATGACGATCTACCGGCAGATTTGGAATTTAGTATTCACAGATATGTTTTCATTAATAATTAGTGTAAATCACCTGAATATTGGAATAATTGTTTCTTTACCATTGAAATAGCCATCCTACAGATATGGGTCCTCTGCCATGTTGAACTGCCATGTTTTTACAGGAGCCCAGAAGAGACAAACCAAACTCTGGCTGTAGATTTTTTCGTGTGTTTTTCGCTTGGAAAGGGAGTTGCGATCTGCAACTACACTACCACTAAATCCTACACACTGGACCTTTAAGTGTAACAGTGAACAAACCAACCAGATCAATCAAATACTCACAAAGGCTAAAAGCTTATGAACAGATATAATTCATATATATGTTTTCAATAGTGTATATCTACCTTAGAATTAGCTGTTTTCTTATCTATAGAGGGAGCGGTTCCTCTTCTACAGAGTCCACCATGTTTCTACAGTAGCCCAAAACGGACAATCCAAACACTGACACTAGATTGGACCTTTTGTGTTTATTGTGTGATTTGCAGCCACTTCAGTTTGTCCTACACACTTTGAAGGCTGAGCTGTATTCAAATGGTTGCAATCTGCAACTTCATCACTAGCTGCCACTGAATCCTACACACTGGTCCTTTTCAGTAATGTCATTATTTTGGGTTTTTAGGGCAGGAGATGGGACATTCTTAGCTTAGCTTAGCATAAAGAGTGGAAGCAGGGGGAAACAGCTAGCCTGTCTTTGTCTAAAGTTAAAGGTCACTAACTAACATGTATCTCCTTTCTAGTTTGTTTGATCTGGTCACCAACAGGAATGTAAAACACTACGTTTGTGGTTTTAGGGGGAGTTACATGCTACAACTGGATACAACAGTCAGTGACTGAAAACCCAGATCTGGGATTATCGACCTGCCATTGGCCGACTATTTCAGTCGGCTCCCCTTCCGCTATCTCCATGTTAATGTGCCTGTCACTATGTGAGATAAGAACAATAATCTAGCAGCCTAGATGTTAGGCTGTTACCCTAACCTGCTCACGGTACAAACATAATAAAATAATAAACATAGCCATTTAAATTCCAGGGTTTGCCTCTGCACCTGCAAATGTTCCACCACAACAAGTTCCTCTCAGACACTATTTTTCGGGGGCACAGTCGCTGCACCCAGGGCTCCACTCCAAAGAGATGTAGGCTAGCCTACTGTCTTCCACAGAAAACACTGCTCCTGCACTGACTGACACGCCTTGTTTGTATTCAGCTTTTTCTGCACTTTCTCTGACATCCCAGTGAAACACCGCACCAACACGCCATGGATTTGCATCTCCATTATAAAACAGGGCTACCCGCTTGAAGGTGTGTCTCTCAAAGGTCGAGAGATTGATTGAATCAATAGAGGGAGCGGCGTTAGCGAGAGCAAAGCAGTGAATTAATGAAATAAATCCAATTTTATTGTCTAACTGTTTCATGGTGGTTACGTTCTAAAACACAAATAAACACGGCCACCATCCAGTGGTATGTGGGTACGTAGACTCGGATATTTTGTCATTTAAAACTGTTTTATTATAAAACAGCAAAATCAGAAAATGTTGGGTTTTCATCAGCAGTAACTTAAAGACACAGCTGAAAGCAAACCAGAAACAAATAAAGCAGATATCTGAAAGAGAGAAACTTAACTTCAAACCACAGAGTTTCATTTAGAAGCTACAAAACTACTGAGAGCTGAACACTTTTAAAAACATCTGTCTGTCTGGTCTGGAAATCTAGTGATCCCACCTCACTGTCCCCGATTGTTGTGTTCTCGCTAATGCAACTCAGATAATACAAAGATGTGGAAGGTACGAGCAAAGCACAGAGTGACGACCAGAGGATTAACTTTATTTGTCTAGAAGAAGAAAAATGTGCTCTGCCGTTAGGAAAATGTTCTCACAACAACGGAAAAACTGGAGTGTGCATTTTACTATGGAGAAGCAGTTTGTAACAGGACGAACGCCAGTAACGGTTCGAGCTCCAGGATGTATCGATACCGGCTGTCTGCGACCAAACCCTGGAAGCTGAAAGTTTGGCGCTGTCTGTTGTTTGTTGTTTATTCTGTCGGTTCACATGTTGCACAGGTGTAATGTGGCTAGCAGGCTGGGGCCGATGTTGCAGTATTGAGGGCGAGTAAAGAGAAACTATTTGAACATTTGGCCTCGTTGGACGGCAGGATGCCGGTAACTGTTTTCAATCAGTTCTCTTGGTTTGCCTGTTTTTGAAATTTCCTTCAGGCTTCTAGTTGGTATCCAGATTTTAGATATTTGTTGAGCTCAAACTGTAACATGCAATGGACAGATTTATCAGAACTGACTGGTGGTTTAAGGGTTGATGGTTTGATTCCCTGATTTGGATTCTGTAAGGTGCTTTGGGATAAAGCCTCCACCAACTTGAATTCAGCAAACATTAAAATCTCTTTTCAAATGTGTTTTACAACAAATTCTGACTCTGTGGCTTCAGTGACTCCGCCCCTCCCAATGTCTCTGATCAGTGTCTTTCCTCCAGCTGTCAGCTGATTGGTCCACAGCACCCTCAGGTGGTCCGGTGGAGCAGCAGTACGGTGAACACATTGTTCTCTGACTCCGCCCGCGCTCCTCCCTTCAGTTCCAGTCTCACTTCCTCCCCCTCGCTCAGTGGCAGGAGGCCCACGCTGGTGACCGACCCCGCCTTTGTCACCTTCTGTTGGTATAGAGACACCAGAGTCCCACCTGACCCCCTCCTTAGGGCCACATGGGCGGGACCTGGCCTCAGGTTTAAGGTGAGGACAAACAGGTAAACCCCGTTCACCGGAGCCGTGAAGGTGCCGGTGTCAGAGTAAAACTGACCCCGGTTCAGAGATGCTGCTAACACGATGGCGCCGTTTGAGACACTCAGAGGAGATCGAGCCACGAGCAGCAGAGACTCTTCTGATAGGCCGGACGGGACAGGAAGGACTCCTGGAGAGAAAAGGAGGGGTCAGAAGTGTGTACAAGATGATCTGTCGGACGATAAACAAAAACCACATCATTTGTTCTTCATGGATCTGATCACTCTCATGTCTGTACAGTAAATACGAAGCCAGGAACATGTTAGCTTAGCACAAAGACTGGAAACAGAGGGAAACAGCTAGCCTGGCTCTGTTTTAAATAAACCAAATCCACTTACCAGCACCTTTAAACTTACTTACCTTTAAACTCACTAGCTTACACAATATATCTTGTGTGTTTAATCTGTATCAAAAGTTTTACAGAAGATTACAGAGAGGACTTTGTGGGCTGGGAGGATTGACTTCCTAAAGTCTCCAACTGCTCAGAGCCAAGAAATAGTATGACACACAAACACCCTTAAAACAGCGGATTGTCCTTTCTACTCTTTCGTTTTTGTACACATGAAACAAATGTCTCTTCATAGTGGTTTTATATCTCTGTGCTCATTAAGAGAGTTTTGAAAATCTGACATGACACTTTTGGGTTTAGGCTGATCCAGTCAGCACTCACCTGAATCTCTCCTGCTTCGATGGTTTCCTCCTCTTCCCGATCCCTCCCTCCCTCCTCCTCCTCCTCCTCCTCCTCTCTTCTTCTCCTTCTTCCCTTCTTTGTTCTTCACCAGCTGCCACAGTTTATCTAGCTCCAGCGTGGCGTCAGATCCCGCCAGCACATCAGCGTTACTGAAGACGTTCTTGAACACCCTCAGATGTTCCTCCAGCCCTCTCTTCAGCCACATCACCTCCTTCTGCAGCTTGGCCTCCACATCACTGGGTGGCGCCTCTCTGGCAGTAGAAGTGTTACAGGCTTTCTCCTCCAACCGGAGCACCTTCAGCCCCAGCTCCTCCACTGTTTTCTCCAGGTTCCACAGATCGCTGCCGTCTCCTTTGTGTTCCAGACGCCTCCCCTCGGTCTGGTGGAGGATCTGGCGCTCCCTGGCTGGAACTCCTCCGCTGTTTCTTTTCATGCTACCAGGGAGCCAGTCATCATGGAGTAGGTGGGAGGATGAGGGCTGGTCAGCAGACGGTACCTCCTCTCTGCCTCCTGGAAGGAGTCAAAAATGTGTCATAGTGTAAGTATAATGGAATAATATTCACAACATCCCTCATTTACTGTCTCCTCGCTGCTGTTTCAGTAAGAGCAAACTTTTACTGGTGCATAAAACAAGCAAACCTCAGGAAGTGTTTGTTTGCATCAAAACTTACTAGATGTCAAATATTTGTATGCGTGTTTTGTGACCTGTGTGTAGGACAGTGTTTCCAACCTTTTTCCTTAAGAGACCCCTTTTCTATCATTAGCTGTACTTGAGTGTTTTTTTATTTTATAACTTTTTTCACAGTTGTCTGCTTTTAAATAACAACAGCAAATATGGGAAATACAATTTTAGTTTACTTTAGGAAAAGTTTAGGAAATACATACAAATACGGAACTGTTGGAAGCTGCAGGTTTTATTTCTGCAATCAACTTTTTAAGGAGAGATTTAGATTTTTAATGTGCTGCTGATGGTCACTATTCTCCCACAATGCAATGCACAAAGGAAATGGAGCGTTAATTTGGATCATGTCTGTTTGCTTCTATTAAACTCCAATTAAAGATCTTGCTTTTTGACTACTGACTCTTAAGTCTGGTAGTACGGCAGCAAATACAGACGCATATACGTGGGGCGCATTGGTTGGCTGTGGCTCAGAGGAAGAGCGGGTTGTCCACTAATCGGAAGGTTGTCGGTTCGATCCCCCAGCTCTTCCCGCCATGTGTCGAAGTATCCGTGAGCAAGGTACTGAACCCCCACATTGTGAATGTGTATTAATGAGTTAGTTTCAGTTTGATGGACTTTGCCATCACTGAGTGAATGTGTGTGAAAGGGTGAATGTGGCACGTAGTATAAAAGCGCTTTGAGTGGTCCGAAGACTAGAAAGGCGCTATACAAGTACAGTCCATTTACCATGTACCATTATATCTACACATCTCAGTCCAAAATCAAATATCAGTCGATCCACAGTGACGTTGTGGACGAGTGGAAAAATTTATCAAAGTGAACTTAATGAGCGTACATTTTTAAGTAAGGGAACAAATCACAAAACTGAGGGAGAGATCAACCAAATGAGACACTGTGCTGCTCCTGGTGCTTCATACCTGGCCTGTCGCCCAGCAGCGTGGTGATACTCAGGTCGTGTTGCCTCAGTTGCTCCTTCAGGGCCGGGATGGAGTGGCCCTCCTGGTCCTGGACTTGCCAATCCAAGAACTCTAGCACCTCCTCCCCGAGCAGCAGCTCCAGAACGTTGCTGTGTCTGATGACGTCTTTCAGTAGCGAGTTAAAGAAGCTGGACAGGTGTTCCATCTTCTCCACCTGCTTTTGATCAGCCTCCTTCAGGCCGTAGACTTCAGCCCTACTGACCTTCACCAAGCTGCTTAGCTGGGCCAAGCTGTCTTCCAGAGTCCTGGTCCTGGTTTGTTCTGAGGCTTGATACTCCTTCACCTGCAGGATGAGGGAGAGGAAAGAAAGCATAATGTTTAATTTAAATAAAGTTACTATGATTCTGTTCAAACCAAAAACATGTTTGTCTGCTTTAAATACTGTCTGACTTCCTGTCTGTGGTTCTCAGCTCCAAGTCCATTGCTTCATACTGAAGACATAAATCTTTAAGAACACAAATATATAGTTTTAATGTTTAATGGAGGACCCAATAATTTCCTAAAACAGCTACTTGCTGTAGTTTTTATCAAACAAACAGGAGGAAATAGTGCAATTGTTGGGGACTATTTTCAACAGCGGATTAATCTATATTTGGTGCTCTTTTCCTGATCGGGACCCCTTTTCTGTCTGTTGACTAAATGACCCTGACTAGCTGACATATTTTATGGATATTTCATATTATATTCAGTGCATAACAATAACAGTACAACTGAAAAACTATGAACCCTAATGAAGTCAAGTGATTTTATTAAGTCAAGTCCTCCCCTCTGCCAGCTAGTCTCTTGTATATTGTTCATATAAAATAGAGATTCAAGTCTGTGTCTTTAGTGAAACTGTTGAAGGATTTTATTTCTCATACCTCCTGAAGGCCATGTTGGAGCACCCCCACCAATGGCTCCCAGTCGCTGGCCCCATCCCCGGCTACTCCCTCGCTGTTCTCCTCCAGGGCTAATCGGTTCTCATTGGCCAGCTCTGTGACATTGGCCACGCCCCTCTCTAGTCTCGCCACTGTGGCTTTCAGCCCCTTGCAATTGCAGTCTCCAGACGAGTTGTGCTTGTAGATGACATCGTACAGGTAGTCCACGTCCGTCCCCATGTCTTGCAGATCGGTGGCCTGCCGGCTGAGGTTCCCTGCCAGTTCGTCCACCCGCTGCAACACCGTCTCTCTGGCCGCCTCCACCTCCAGCCCCGTCTCCATGAACTGGATCTGACTGGTCCGAGCCGTCTGGTTGATCTGCTTTGCCAGCCCCTTCAAGTCCCACCTCAGCTGATAAACGTTCCCCGAGGTCACCTCCATGTCCTCCATCAGGCCGTCCACCTGCACAACACACGATGAAGGAGTAGATGATTTCCTTCAACTCATATTTAAACCTTTTTTTTCCGATTTCCTTTAATAACTTTATCTGTCTCACCTCACTTGATATTTACAGTTATAAAATGTGAGTGTGTATCACTAAATACATAAAGGTTTGTGTATGTATATGAGATTATGAGCTTTGATATGGTTATAAATAACTATTCTCTATGTAAAGATATAGTGGAGTCATGGTGTCTCTCTCCCTCTGCCTGTGTTGCTATCACTCTCTGTGGTTTGTTTCCATAGCCGGTCTGCAAGTCACGTGAACAGGGATTTTTCTTCATTTTCATTGTTTCATGTTGATTTACGAATTTAATTAAATTTCATTTTTGTATTGTGATTTAATAAGTCTTTTAATTGCCCCAGTGGGCCACAAAGAAACAGGACCAGGACCATCACTTAGTGTTTGGTATTAGTTTGTGAATTTTCTCCGCTCAAGCATAAAATCAAATAAGGCCAATCCTGCATTTTAGAAAATATAGTGGCCCTCTATGGTTTTATTATAGAAGATATTATTAAAGAAATTAAATACATTTTTGCGTGAAGGAGCCCTAACAGGTTAATCTGGCCATGTTTCTACAGTTAGGATATATCTGGGTTGTTTTACACAAAAGGATCCCTAGGTGGCGCTAGTTAACGGGACAGTGGCTGTAAAAAGGTTATCCAACCTTCACTGTGTTGTTAACCACCATGTTGTCCAGGCGTTTGATGGCCTCCCAGAGCGCTGAGTTGTCTGAGGGCTGCAGTGGGTGGGGGAGAGGCGGAGAGGGGGTAGCCAGGTGATCCTCCAGCTCATCCTCAATGAGCTGATCCTGGTCCAGCTTCAGTTCAGCCAATGTGGTGTTCATGGCTTGAAGGCTGACCTGGGATCAGAGACATCATTTTGTCAAGTGAAAATACTAAATATCTGCTGGTTAAAGCGTTGTGGACATTAAAATATCAGTTTGCTTTTTTCATTCAAAATTAAAAACTAAATTAATACTTTTGTCTGCTGATCAGACGCTCAAAAGTAAAAACCTTTTAAAAACATTTTGTTACCAATTCTTTCTTTGATTTACTTAATTAAAACTGTATGAAGTAAATGATGTTCCTATTGTCCTCTGACCTGCAGCATCTTCTGGTTGCGTTTCAGCTTCATGTCAATGTCTGTCTTAAAGCTGGTGAGGTTGTAGTGCAGCATTACATGCTGGTAGTGCAGCCTATTCTCCATGTCCGTCCGCTGGCTCTCCATCTGTCTCTGGACCTCCCTGATGTTCTGAAACACGTCATTCAGTTTGGCATCCAAGCGCTCCTCCACTGCCTCGTTGAGTTCGGGGCCGTCCTGGGGCCCTGCCTGCAGCTCTGCCTCCAGCTGGCTGCTCTTAAGCTGGGCCACGTCACGGGCAAGTTCCCCTACCTGCCGGCTCAGGTGGTCCAGCGAGCGGTTGAAGCCCTCCAGGACCGGCTGTAGCTGGGACATGACCAGGGCCATCATGTGGGGAACGGGGAGGGTGGCGGTGGCTTCTTGGTACGAGACATCAGTGGCATCCAAATCATCTACAATTGACAAAATAACTAATTCAGTTACAGTTTTTTGCATGAGCAATGTGCATGAGCAATGTGGGCACAAGAAACTAGGTTCTCTTTTGAAACTGTGTACGTCGTGTACAGTTGTCTCAAACAATCTGCTCACCACAAACTAGTGTTGGAGGAACGAGGCACTGAAACATTATGAAGCAGTCGTGCAGAAAATTGTTCATTGTTTTGAACCTTTTGATACCGTCAAAATGATAATGATCTGCTGGTCAATGCTTGTATTCTATTTTAATCCATCCATACAAATTCAGTACCAAGCGGCCTTACTGCTATTTTTATTTTATTTATTTTATTATAAAAAACGATGATAAAAAGATCAAAGTTCTTAGGATTCATCCTCTGGGAAATATTAATGTCTCAACCAGATTTCTGCATTTTTATCTAAAATAACAACATTATCACAAAAAGCTTTTCTCACACTACACAGAGCTAACATTAACAAGCGAGTGCACAAAAACACACACACTCCCTGGTGAATCATGGCTCTCTGGGGGCCGGTAGTTGGTTGCTATGCTCTAAAATGGAACCAGTTTAGTTAACTGGAATATAAACACAGTGCAGCCCTCCGCCTGGAAAACAATCCAGCAGGGAAACAAAAACACCTAAAAATGGCTCCGAGCCTCAGTGCTGCCATTTCTGTCTGCTGGGCTCTCTGGAAACTGATGTTTCTGACACACTGAGGGGCTTCATGATACAAGCAGCAGGAGGAATACTCAGATTAGATGAGTTTTCGCAGTTTGTTTCTGTCAGTTCAGTAGAAACTGACAGAGTGAAGCCAGAACACACACTGACCGCCGGACTCTGCTGGTCCTGCAGCTGGACCTCATTCAGTATGAGCCGCCTTAGGGCTCAGTGGGTCCCTCTGATCCTGGGTGGTGGTGTTATTTCTGGAGTTTGAAACAAACCCAACTGTGCTTACATTTCCTGCTATTTATCGACCTCACTAATCCAAGAGAGACTAAATGAGATTTTGATCACTTTTTGAGACATCTCAAACTGGCAGATGAAATCTTTTTTAACTTTTACTGATAACATTAACTGGACGGATGTGCCCAAAGAACACAGCCTTATCTTTACTGTTGTGTAATCTGATCGGATTCTGAAAAACAGGATTCTGAAATCAGATTAGATAATGTAATCTGGTTTTTGTTTTGATGTGGATCAAACCTTCAGAATGTGATGTTTTGCACTCGATTTGTTTTATGGTTACTGACATTTTGTTACCCATTATTATTTTTATGTTTGTGTGTTGAGCTTTGATTGGGCCCAAAAAATCTAGCCCAACCAAACCCGAACCCTGGAAGTAGCTTTGGGCCCCGAGCTTGACCCAAACTTGAAATTCTGCTTAAAATAAATAAATAATTAAATTAAAATTAATAAAGAACACATTCACTCATTAATTACAGTTGCATGCCTTTTTAATAAATTATTATATATATATTTTTAAGAATTTCATTCCATCTGAGTCTGACCTACGGCAGCAATTTTGGGCCCAAACTTGGAGGGTCGTGCCTAATTGAGCGGAGAATCAAAGCTCTAGTGTGTTGCACTTGATAGCCTAACTTTGAAGCCAATACACTGACACTGACATACCTGGTTTAAAGTCATGAATTTGAGCTTGAGGATTTCCAGGAAAGTTCCTGTTCCAGTACAGGTATATAGTGAGTTACACTGTGTGCTGCAAATTGAGCCTAATTTTTTAACTTTCCAAAATACAACATAAATGTTGACGTGCAAGCTCATATTCAGACATTAAATTAGATACCGCCATTGCCCAAGTGTATTTATTGCATGCAAGTTCATCAAGTGTAAAACATGAAGCTACAATAGTGAGGGCACATTAAATATCAAAATATATTTCAGTCTGCAGCCCATTTTTTAATTCCCTATTCTGATTTTTTTGATGTGAGCATAAAAAATAAATGAATAATGAAATAAAATGTTTTTATGATCTTTATTATGATGATAGGATCATCACTGGCCTCACTTGTGGAAAGTGAAGACATTTTTCAAAAATGGTGGCTTTTTCTAGAAAGTATGGATTTAGTTTTTCCTCTTCAAAGGGCCGTTTGAAGGTTCAGACTTGGTTTTAGGGTTGATTGTCTTCAGGTTCAGTTTAGGGTTAGAGGCTAAGGAATGCATCGTGGCAATAAGGGTCCTCACAGGTACAGAATATACAAACATGAGTGTGTGTTTGCCTCAGGTCACTGCTGTCACTCTCCTCTAGAGACACAGTCCAGACACGACCACCTTCAATACACACACACACACACACACACACACAGTGACCTCAGTCTCTTTCATCACAACCTGTTTTCATTACGACAAACCAAAACTCTTTTCCCACATGTGCGGGGTACTGAGGGGTCAAAGGTTATGGTACAGTGAGGCCATGCTGCGACAGGAAGTTCCAGGTCACCTCCGACTCCAGCTGCGGGGGGGGGGGCGTTTGGAGCTTGAAATCTGACACACCCTGGTAAGTCAGCTGGCAGTGTTTCTGTCTAATGACTGTCAGTGTGATTTACGGAGCCGAGCTGAGTCGACTTCCTGTTCGGACAAAACAACGTCTGTTAGAAAACTGTGGATTTGTTTTCTTCTTCTGACGTTCTGTTGTAAATGTCACAATTAAAAGGAAAGACGACACATTAATGAGTCATGTGGGGAAACAGAGACTACACAGCTCCAGAATGTTGAAGAGTGAAGACTTTAACTTTAATGCAACTGTTACTTCGGGGCTTGTTATATTGTGTTTCTGTTCTAATATTGCGTGTTGAGTCAAATCTGAACACACAGACATAAAACACACATTTATAGACTCAGTGTGACTTGACATTTGATATCATTGTCTCTGATGTCCAATAAACAGCCATAAATCTGCTTAGAAATCATAGAGAAAAAGACGCTCCTTGAACTGCAGAACTTGGCTGAGAATCATCATGTTTGGAAGTTTTGTTCAGTATCAGAGTAATTCAGTGACAGTACTCTGTACATCCATGCAAACAGGAGCTGCTAATAACTAGTTGGCATACTTTAAATTGTGCCGATGTGATAACATATGAACAAATCTTGGCTAAACAAAACAGAGAGGATGACTCCATGGCAATATTATACTTCCCATTTACATCCCCAAATTTAGGGGAACTGTAGTTTGAAATCTTGGGGCACAAATAGAAGCAATAATAATCACAATCAGTGATGGTTGTCTCGATTTAGTCTGAGGGGGGACCACAGTCTCTGACTGTAGGACCTCCTGATCTAGTCTAATGTACAACAGCTCAACATGTGGAGAAATCCAAACCTTCACAGACCTGCTGTGACTAATTATTGTTGCTAAACTGTGATTGGACAATCACTGGGGGTTTAGGGATTAAACCAATTAAAAATTAAAGGCATACAATGCAGTTTTCCAGTTTTGTCAAACAGCTACCCCTAGAGTCGCTGCAGAGTACTTGTATTTAACGTTAACTGTCGTAAATACCACTCATCAGAACCGTCTCTATATACGGCTCTGCGTCTCTGCACTCACGGCCTGATCCCCTCCCCCCTGTATACCGGTACATGTTCAGTAGGATGGAAGCGTCGGACATCGAACAGGCAAAGATAGACTCCGAAGATGTCTACTGACCAGGTAACGTCTGAGTGAATGCCTGCTAGTGTCTTCCATTGAGGCTGCTTCTTATGTCGTTGATGTATGTGACGTCGGGCCGTAAAGCAATTTGTGATTCTCGCGAGATTTGGCGGGACACCACCTTTCAGACTTGCATTGCTGGTTCTGCCAACTCTCCTGCTTTGCTATCAGTATGATTCGCTATACTACGAGTTTGTTTACCATCGAAATGACTTTGAAGCTGTTTTATTAAGGTAAAAATCTTGCATAGTGTGCCTTTAAATCAGAGATTGAGGATATAATATACTGCATATAGAACAGTCCCAGCTCTTTACTGTCTTAAGTTTATTTTCAGAGAAATTAAGTGAACAGTGGCTGCCTGGATGGAAGATAATCTTAAAATTATGAGGCAGCAGACTGTTCCTTTAAGGATGATGTCATGCTGGCTGGTCAGTGAGGTCAAAGGTCAGAGAGAACAGAGCACTGTGGGAACCTGAGAGTGAGGCCGATTCCCAAACAAGCTCCACACAGGACGAAGGAAGTGTGTGTGATGTAATGCACATGCTGGTCTGGTGACACAGGAGGTATAATATATAGTGTCATCTTATAGTCCACAAACACACACATACATACACACACACACAAACACACAATGTATGGGAGACAAGAAAGAGAGGATTTCCTGTGGAGGAAGTGTGTGTCTGTATGTGTGTGTTTTTAGTGGAGATGTCATTACAGAGGAATGGGGCTCAGTGTGTGTGTGTGTGTGTGGTTCAACGTTATAGTTCCCTTATAGGATGTGAATGAGACATCAGGATTATTATCACATCCACCTGCCTGCACTCACACAGCTGATCGGAAGTGTAGCATTTTTTTGCTCATATGTGACTCGTTCAAGACAGTGTGAACAACACAAAACACATCTGATCTGGAATCTGATATTTTCAATTCAGATTTGGGCCAAGTTCATACTGTATGTGGTCCAAAACGGATACAGGTCTGATTTTTTGCAATGTGACCTCAGTGTGAACAGTCATATCTAACTTCATTCATTCGTAATGCAGGCCACTTCAGGGCTGGGACCTGTTCACACTGGAATCTGATATGGGCCACATTCAAAAAATAACAGCCAAACAAAAAAAATCTGATCTGAGCAATAAATCAGAACTGAGTGCTGAAGCTTGCAGTGTGAACGTAGCCGTACTCCATTACACCATCTTTACTTACTGACAAGTCACATGTAAAAGAATATACTTAAAGTGGAGGAGGACATATTCAGATCTTTTACATCAGTTGATGTACTGTTACCACGCTGCGATACAAGTACAGTTGTTAACATATGTGTGTCCCTCAGGGTGCAACAAGTGAATTACGGATGTATTTTCACCAAACCAGAGTCAGTGATTGTAGGAACAGTGGAAAGGCTAACAAAGGCTGTTTTGGTGAGTTTTTGCTTTGTTTCTGTCCAAGTCTCTGTGGAAGTGTGTTTTACCATTATCTGTGGTGTACAATGACTAGTTTTGTCTATGGAGTCTGGTCAGCTGTAGCACCCATTGTTTTGATCTGAGATGCTGGATCTCTGGTGCGACATTTAGTGTCAAAATAATTTCTTATATATAACCTTAAAATATGATTAAATGTTTGTCTGTCAAATCAAACCAAATTACGTAATAAAAGATGATCTATCTTATTTGTTGTGCTTTGATGTTTGATATTTCTGTTACAGGAAATCAAACAATGGGAGCGCAGTTCCCACTCCAATGTTCTGCCCTCATGTTTTCAAAAATAACAGACAATACTTCACTTCTAACATCAGGTTGATGAATCATCATTTTCACAACAGACATTTTGACTTGTCAAAGCAGGAACAGGTGGAATCACTAACATTAACAATGGCTGACCAAAACTCACCAGGATTGTTGCCATCCTGCTCGCCTTGGTCCTGGTCGGGGTTCGTGGTGTTGTCTGGGTAGCCGGTGTCATACATCTCACTGTTGGACTCCTGGTAGTTGGAGTCCTGGTAGTCGTTCTGTTCGCGGTTCGGGTCAACGTGCTGGAGACCTGTAACACACACACAGAGGAGAGAGCTGAAAGAAGCTGGACTCATGGGACTTGTTGACAATAAAAAACACAGAATATCAGCAGCCTTTTCTTTATTATCAGTGACTGTTTGTTCTATGGTCTGTTGGTCTGGTCCACACTGAAATATCTCGTCTATTAAATTGCGATGAAAGTCTATACAAACGTGAAGAATGTTTACATGCACATTAGTATCCTGGTTTTGAGTTTTTTCCTGGTTTTGATCAAATCCCGGAAATAAAGTTTACATGAAGCGTGGGAAAAATCTGCAGTTTCATATCCCTGTTTAGAGGACCATAACAGTATCCAGGTGTGTCTTGATTTCTCAACATCTTAGAGACTTGTTTCTGAGAATGAACAGGGTTTGGTTTCTGGGCGTCTTAAAAGAACTACTGACTCATCATCACACTGCTGTAACACTGTCAGACTCACATTAGATTATGAACATGCTAATACAATAGAACTAAAGACTGGTTCATCTGCCAACAGCCATCATGTTGCTTTATGTGGTCATAACCATGTTCATTCTCTGCCGTTGGTCATATCAACCGCCCTCAAATGACTCTTCAAGCCGAGGAAAGTTTTGGATCTAGTTATATATCATTCCTAGAAGTTTATTCAACCATAGATACATGGATCAATGTTTCGCTTATCAAGATTAGTCATTTATTGTTGCTTACACTAACACACTTATGGTAACTTGATGTTTTGGCTTTCTTCAGTTGGTGTTTGTGTGCTTGGAAATTAACAGTCTGCGAGGTTTCTGGCTGTTTGTGGTTCCATTGTTTTTATTTATTTCTTGTTGTTTCTGAGCTTAGTTTTTGTTGGTTGTTGTCAGAAGTATTTTAAAGGTTATGTGTAATTGAAATTATTAATATATAGCAGCAAACAGCTATCAATCTATGTAAAGATATAGTGGAGTCATGGTGTGTCACTCCCTCTTCCTGTATTGCTATCACAGACTCTCTGTGGTTTGTTTCCATAGTTGGTCTGCTCTGTGTGCAGCTGAGTAGAGCGACTGAAACTGCTGTTTTTATCAGCTACGTCAGTGAATTAAGGATTTATTTCAGTGGGAAGACTAATAAAGGATGTTTTGGCGAGTTTCAATTAGTTTCTGTCCAATTTTAATGAAGTTATGATATTGGGATGATATGTGAGGTATAATTACTGTTTTTGTTGAAGGAGTCTGGTGGTGAGCAATATTACGGCTGTTTTGTGGTTAAAGCAAACGTTCTATCTCGTAAGGATTCTTTCCATAAGCTTTAATGCTGCAAGCTGTTTATGTAACTCGATATTTTAACAGAAAAGAAAAAAAGACTGAAACGTTTTAAACAAAATCAATGCATCAGAACCAGAGATATCATCTTTTTCATTGCACACATTCTTCTTCCTTGTCAAAACCTGGTGCCTGCATTACCCACAATGCATCTCAAGTTGAGTGGGAGACTGGGATATGTTATGCTAGTACCGGCTAATCCAGTGTGGAGCCACTAGCCTGCAGCACTGATGAAGAGCAGCTACAGAGGTCTTCTTTCTAACTCCACACCAACAGATCTGTTTCATTTTTAAACTTGTAGTCTTCATTTGACACTGACTCAAGTGACATCACTTGAGGACATTTATCAGATTTTACACAGCTCCCTCTGGAGACACTTATTATTCACTTTAATATGTTTATGCTTTGTCAACATGTTTATTGATGATACCAATAAAGCTTCCTTAAATTGAACTGAAGAGGGAGAGAGATCAACAGGAAGTCTGGCAGACATGTAGAGAGTGAGATGATGGGAAACAGGCTGATGTATTTGGGGATTTCTCAACTGAGCTTCCTCAGTTTTTTGTTTCATTTAGAGTTCATTGTTAAGAGTCAGAGTGACAGCAGGAACAAGGAGCGCCGTATCAGTGACCTGCAGTCCGCGTAGAGGGCAGAAACACACGATGCTGCATCAGCAACACTTGAGATTGAACAAAAAGAGGAGGAAGTCCTGCATCGTCATCAAATTTGTTTCCGTCATCATTTTCAACAAAGACTTTTATCCTATTTAGATTTTTCCGTCGCAAAAGTCAGTTGGTCCAAAACTTTGATCCAGTAATAAGTATGTACTTAGTTGTGGTTCAAATGTTCTTGCTCCTCAGAGGATGAATACTACTTTGATGACCTCCTGATCTGTCTGCAGCTCAGCCAGGAAACACTTCAGTCTAACTCAGACTTCTGAGGATCCACTTAAATGCAACGAGGAAACATGGTTGCTCACAACCTTTGTTGGAGTCACTTTAGGAGGAGATCTCTTTGTATGGACAGGAGGAATGATTAGAGAAATCAATAGCACTTTCAATGTACACATGGGCATATGAGTATTGCTCTGAACAATTAGGAACCTATCCTTTAAAATCACAGAACAATCTCAGCATTAAGTCTTCTGTGAATGGGGAGAATTAATGTTAACCTTTTGAGGCAGCTGGACTCACATGTGCATGTGTCTGAACCACAGTTGTTTAGACCAATCAGCGTCCTTTGAGGAACTACTGGCAGCTATACAGCACAAGTTGCAGGTGTGGTTTAAAACTAGGTGTGTGACGACATGGGTGAGAAGTGACCCAAAAACAATGGTGGTTGGTAAAGTGGTTAGTGTAGACGTACTTTTTTATTAACACAATAGTATCAATAGAGAGAATAGGACAAGTCTTTTAAATTGGTTTCCGTGATTTTTTTCAGCAGTGGGGGGAAAAGCTTCTGTTGTACCCCTACTTTACTTGTAGTGAAGTATTTTTTTAAAGTGGGATATTAATACTTTTGCATAAGTAAAGGATCTGATCCTGCACCTGTGTTACCAGCCGAGTCTTCCCCTTTAAGAAAGGCAGAGTCTAGCGTGTTTTGGGGCTTTGGAGCTGGAGCCACAAAATTTCCCCTCCATTTTATTCAGAAAGTCAGTTTATGTTTCATTGTGTCAGTGAGGTGATGACTCACTAACTGAGACCTTTGCGTATTTTAAGGTGTTCCTGTTATTGTGTCCAGTCTGTTTCTGCAGGGCTGCAGGTCTGTTGATGATTTAATTACATCGACGTAAGCTCACAGGAAGTCGGTTCAATCGGAGGCGTGGTGGGAGCGGACTGTACCATGTCGAGGTGTGTGTGTGTGTGTGTGTGTGTGTAACTGCCTCTTGTTTGTCTTTCTTTGTTAAATCAAGCCTCTAAAGGCCAAAGGTCTATTTTAGTCTTAAATCTTTCCAAAAACATTGACTGTTTTCATTCTTCTCAGTTCTCAGTGCCACTCATGGTACAAATATTTCATGTTATGTACACTGCTGCACGTACCCTGCAGTAATACACCAGTAGTTCAACTGCATCATATCAGACCCTCACTTTACAGCTCTGTTTATAGTGAGAGGCTCTGCTTTAACAGAACCCAAAAAACCCAAAGTAAATCTGAAACATCCCGGATTGAGACCTTTTTACCAAGCAAGTGCTCATATTTGTTTCCACACACACAGGATGTGATGTCACAGGTCTGATATAGGGAATAAAGAAATATTAAGCCTCAGAAACAGCAGGAGCTGGAAGGTAAACAGGACAGTTTGTTGAGGTTGTCAGCAGGGGCAGGGCCAGATGTTGTAAACATTCGGGGCCTAGGCCAAAACCTTAGCCCAGAACATTTCCAGGTATGTCTCCCATCTCTTACGACTGAACTGTGGACATTTGATGTGGTTATCACTATCCTCCACAGAAACAGTTGCCAACTGAGAATATAATATCGGGAACGTTCTGTAAAGACTCAGTTGTCTTTGTGTGGTGTCGAGCAGGCCTTCATGAGAATGAAGACTCAGTGGGCCGCCATCAACAGCTCTCAGACTATGACACGGGCAGTCATCAAGGGTGGATTGAAGGGTCGACGCTGTTCATCCACCTCAACAATATGTCTTTCACCATGATCAGGACCAGGTCATCAAACCCCCACCCACCTATGCTGGGCTGAGCTTAAAACAAACAAACCCTGTTGTCAACAACCGACCCAAACCTCCCGTCCACACTCTCTCCTCAGCTTCATCAGGTCATCCTCTGCTGTACTCCCCCTCCTCCAGTGTATGAGTCACTGTGTGTTTATAGGCCGAGGATGTGGGGGGGCGTGATGGGTTGACCTTGGTAGTGGGTCCTACGGGAGCGGCTCACCCACACCCACTTCCCCCGGGGGAAGGTGGGGGTGGTTGGACCTTCTCCTGACCTGAGCAGAAGGTTTATCGAAGCCGAACGTCGCTCTGCACTTCACAGCTTCCTCACTTTGTTAAAGAGGCGGGAATGAGTCAGACTGCCATAACACTGTGTGTGTGTTTGTGAGATGCTGTTCACAGATAATTAACACTCTGAAAGTAAAATAAAGACTCTGCTGCTGCTGTCCACGCTCCACTTTGGTTCAGACTGAAATATCTCAATAACTATTAGATGGATTGCCATAAAAGACATTCTCAGAGGATGAATCTAGCTGCTGATCCTTGACTTAAGGTGAACTCCAAGCAACAGATTAACAAGAGTCTGCAGCCACGCTAGCAGCTCTGTGAGGCTCTACTTAGGCCTTGTTCAGACTGCCAGCCCAAATCCAGATTGAATTTTATTCTATTAGGGGGCAGCTTTATTTAGCAGATATACTGTTTTAGTGTATATACCATGTTCACCATCTTAGTTTAACGTGTACATGCACATTTTTTTGTGACGTCACATCTACAGTTGCAATCAGAAATATTCAACCCCCCAAAGATTTTAAGGATTTATCAATTAAAGTTTTTTCAAAGAGCAAGATTCTGCTTCACATGACTTCTTTATGAGTTGAGTGATACATAAAATCAACACAGAAAATGCAAGATGTAGAATTTGTGTGTAAGAGTATATAGATAGCCAATTATTCAACCCCTGTATAATTTTGCTGTTTTTAAAGCTGTCAGGCCTAAAGTGGAGTTAAAACATAATTAAGCCTTTGGGAACTGTTCCATAAGTTTAAAACTTATGGAACAGCTGCAAACCTGCCTGGCCGTGGAACATTTCATCCAGGGCCCTGTCAGAACAATTAAGAGAACCCCTGTGTGACTGCAAGATACCTACAGGATGACCTGATGAAGGCTGGTGCTTCAGTGGCAACTATAAGACGTGCACTGAATAAACAAGGACTTCATGGCCGGACTCCAAGACGCACTCCAGTCTTCACCACAAGGAACATCAAAAGTTGACTAGAATATGCCAGGAGGAATTTGGAAAAGACTACAGAGTTTTGGGAGACAGATCTATGGACTGATTGAAACCAAACTGGAACTGGACCAGTGGCCAGGCTTATGACCAGAAGAATACCATCCCCACGGTCAAGCATGGAGGTGGGTCATTGATGATGTGGGGCTGTTTTTCTGCTTCAGGAACTAGCAATCTTGATCGTGTACCTGGTATCATGGATTCCCAGAAATACCAGGCCATTTTAAAGAGGAACGTGATGCCTTCTGTTGACAAATTAAACCTCGGTGATCATTGGAATTTCCAGCAAGACAATGATCCCAAGCACACCTCCAAGTCAACCAAAGCTTGGTTGAGAAATAGATCCTGGAACATCCTGGAGTGGCCTTCTCAGTCACCACATTTAAATCCGATTGAATTAATAAATATTTTTTGTTGTTTAATGAGTTTTTTTTCTCATTTATTGTCATTATCTTTCATCCACATCACTATAATGTCTTTGAGGTGAGGGGGTTGAATATTTCTGATTGTAACTGTAGTTTGTAGCCAATGAGGATCCAGTATGAAACTTACAAGAATGGAGGACTTTTTACTCAGGAGACATCCTTTATGCCGCAGTTAAAATTTAAAAATGAAAAATATTTAGATATTCAGAAATTATGGATTTATTTTTCAAAGAAGTACAAACTAGACGTAATTTTAAGTTTTAATGAGGTGATTAAATAAAAATAAATTATTATTGAAAGTGAGTATTTGTAAAACGTGTGGAGGGGATCTGTAAGTTACTGGTGATGCTACCAAACATAGTAGGTGTGGAGGAGGCTAAAGTGCATTTTATAGTCCTGTGTTGAATAATGTCAATAAAGCTGAAGTGTGTGGAGGTGTATCGTTGTACCTTGAGTGCGGAGCTCGGCCCTTGCTGTTTCAGATCCTCCAATCAGAGCCGAGCTTCCAGAATCCAGCTGTGCGTCAGAGGCTGTCGGAGACAAACACAATAAGATTTAAACAGACTGGAAACATACACATACATTCTTATTCCAGGTTTAACACTTCCATCAGTAAATAATGTTTAGAGAGAGGAACAATCTCAGCAGTCTGATGGTGGAAATGACTTTTAGTGGACTTTCCTCTGACTGACAAAAATACTTTCTTATTTTCATTCATAAAGTCTGAGTTTCAGCACAAACAAAAGGAGAGACTGAGAATAGAAGAGAGGACGTCCTCCTTTAGACATCTGGTAAACACTGCCGTTTCCCCACACACACACACACACACACACACAGAATCTGGATTAAATTAAGTTCCTCAGCAATACCAAAATTAGGCTGTTTTTGTGAGAGGACATTTAAGAATAGACTCTGACAGAGAAAAACAGAGTGAATCAAGATTGAACTCAGTGAAACTCTGATTTGTTTCTAATGACAGTCATTTCTGACTTTAATTACGCGAGACGATGTATTAACTCATAAAGTCAGTTGATGACTTTCAACTGGTTTTGTTGAAGCTTTCTTGTATAAATGTATCAGTAGACAGGACAGCTACATAAAAAGCTTTTATCCGTTTAATAGCGTATTCTACATTGCTGTTATAATATTTATGTATATTATGAATTAGAAAATTAGAAAATCAATTTGAATTTAAATGTCAAATTCAACAGTATACTTTTCTTTCGGAGATATCTATACTAAAATAAAATTAATGGATGAAATGAAAATGAAACAATCTGTTTCTATATTAGCCGCTACTAGTGTAACACTCAACTGTCTGTGGAAGAGGTGCATTGTGGGTAATGTAAGCACCAGGTTTTGACAAGGAAGAATGTTCCTTTATTATTATTATTATAAGTTCTGCTGTACTTAAATAAAAAAGTAATGTGATTAGATTTATTAACAGAGGAGAGGCTCCACAGAGTTACATTTCAACTAGCAACGTCTTCATCATGAAGAACAGCCTCTCCTTCTCCTTTGTTGTTGTTGTTGTTTTTTGTCTTGCACCTGTTGGATGTGTACACTATTCACCTTTACACAGTAATCTATTACCTTGACACACTGTCATCCCCAAAATGTTCATTCAACACCTTATGACACTGCGACGTTAAAGGTCCAGTGTGTAACATTTAGGAGGATGAAATATAATATTCATAGGTATGTTTTCATTAGTGTACATTCACCCCTTTTTCTTTTTTTGCCAGAATCCATCATAACTGGCTTGTTGCCATGGTAACGACAATGACCCACCTGCTTCCTCACAGTTATGTCCTCCGTGTCCCGGACAGCAGCGCCACAGCAGAGCGGTGAAGATCTGCTGCTTCTGCCTGTAGATTGGCCGGGTGGACAACTTGTACCTGTGAGCACACACAAAAACACACACACACACACACACACACTAAGCCAATGCTGTTTGTGTCTGAACCACAGAGGTAAAATGACTCAAATTTATTATAGTCAAAACTTTTGAACATTTAAAACTGATAAACATCAATGAGACAGAACACAGCTGAAACCCTAATCCTGATCTCAGATCAGAGTTCTGCTGCTGTCGGGTCAGAATTAAATGTCACTGTAATATTCTCATAGAATATGCTGTATGTTCCATTTAATGACAGTATTTGATGCAACCACTGCCCCCACTGGATGCTAGATGTAATTGAGTGTGATTTCTTATTATCTATACCGAGTCCTTCCCCGCACATGCTCAGTGTAAGTTTGTATACCAACGTACGGTATCCAGTGCTCTAGTTCTCGTTGTTATGTAGCCATCAATAAAAGGCACAGCACGTCGTTGTCTGAATATGATTTTGTACACGCGTACAAACAAGACAGTCACTCGTCACTGAGGTCACACTGTCATCTGATCCTTCAGCTGAAGTGAAAATTAGATAATCTGGAAAATCTATATCTATATATAAATAAATGCTTAAAAGAGTTTCCCTCCAGGAAGTGTATTCCTGGCAGTGTGGAGGAGGATTTGAAGCAACAGTTAGACCGGTGGTAGCCAACCCATTTGTTTTGCGACAGTTAAAAATGAAGCAGCTGTGACTTTGGACCTCATCAGGCCAGGAAAGACAAAAATGTAGTAAATAGAAATACTTTATTTTCCCTTAAATCAGCCCCTCAGATTTATCTTGGGAGCTCTCAGGGGATTTCCTGACTTCAAGACTTAAAAATAGTCATTAAGTTAATGAGGTCTGCAAGCATTTATTTATGAGATTATATAAAACATTTTAGAGATATCATATTTAAGATCCTGAAGAAACCCTTCACTCAACTTTAATTCATATTCTAATAATTCCTTTACAAGAACAAATACAATCCAGTGAACAAACAACTCCATCTTCCACAGCAGAGATTATAAGAGAAACTGATTTTGTCTAATTGTGCCTCTAAATGAAAGTATGAACAATGACTGTTATCAGACTTTTCAGGATGCTACACCTCCAATGCAGACATTTCAAAGTAAAAGCACCCAACAGAATGTGTATAAAGAGTAAAACACCTGCCTGCAACTCCACCATAGACAAATGCAAAACATTACAATCATATCTATAATTACAAACAAAGCTTTTTGTCTATTTGTTTGTGATTTAGGCCTGAATCTGATCACCTGATCTATAACTTCTCTTCACAAACAGCCAGAAGAAGCCAGTAGCTAATTTTGAATCTTAAAAATAAATAATAATGTACATTTATTGTAAGTACTGCACTTAAGGTACTTAAGGGAAATATTGTACTTTTTTACTTCACTACATTTATCTGACAACTTTTACTTACTTTACAAATGCAGATTGTTACACACAAAATATGTGAAGAGTTAATAAAGCTACCCAACAGCTAAACTCATCCATTAGTCAATCAGCCGACTGACAGAAACGTTTGTATGGAAAAACATTTGATGGTTCTCAATGTGAAGATTTGCTGCTTTGAATGATATTAATAATTTGAATGTTTTTGTATTCATTTTGAGGTTTGAACTGTTGGTTGGACAAAACCAGCATTGTGATGATGTCACTTTGGGCTCTGGGTAATTGTGATGGCATTTCTTACTATTTTCAGAATTTTTACAAAGCAAATCAACATTTTGACTGATTACAATTACTTTTACTTCAGCAGTATCTAAATACTTCCTGCACCACTGACTTACACAGTGTTGTTGTTGTGTACTCACATGACCAGCTGACAGTCGGGCGTCCCACTCGGACAGGGACTCTGAGACTTGATGGTGTACTTCTCAGTTCCACACGCCACGGCAACAGTAACTGCACGCTTCTGCACGAACGCACACCAGTTCCTGCACAACACACACACACACACACACACACACACACACACACACACAGTCAGGATACTGATGCAGAGTGATAACATGTCCACAGTGTTTTAGGAAGACAGATGAGATCATTTCAAAAGCCTTGAGAACACACACAGTCTTTAGCTGCTGGTGAATTAGCTTGTTTGCAGTTAGGTTGTTGACTCCTTCCTGTTTGGGTTCAGAGGTCAAACATGGTGTCTTCTCCTCATTGACCACCAACAGCCCCAAACCCAATCTCCACCCTACAGCCTAACCACTTACAGACTTAGGACAGCACTTTGTGACATACAAATTTAAGATTTTTAAGAAGAGTTTTAACTGTTAGGACTTTTTAAACTGTGATTTCTTAGTAAGTTTTTAACTTTATCCACACAAATCACATATTTACATCTTCAGCAAAGTCTGCCAGTGCTCACTGTGAAAACTGTTCAGTGATACGACCCACAGTGTTTGAGCTTTCGTGTTGCCTCGGTAGGTGTTCCTGTGTGTCAACAATGACTCAGCACTTTCAGGTCACAGTAACACACTTCTTCTTCCTCGTCCTCTTCCCTCTGTCTCTCTAATTCTTTTATTCAGGTTTAATTCACAGTTCAAACCTAACTCTATCTCTCTCAGACAGACAGGCAGACACACACAAAATCAACATAAAAATGGACGACATGTCTTCACTTCCTCCCACTGTACACAAAATAAAGCCAAAATACTGTCGCTGCCATATTGTGCTGGAGACATCATTGGAAGCCAGAGTCTGTGCAGTAGTGATTGGAGTTACTTTTTTTCAAAATAAAAACCCCAGATAGTAACTGTGTCTTAACAGGAAGCCAAGAATGAGCCTTGTTTTTCAAAATGAAACCCCCCTCAACGGCCACTGCATGTTAACAAGAAAACTAGGGATGCATCAATTTTTTCAAAATAAAAACCCCATAGAATAACTTTCTCTCAACAGGAAACTAGAGATGGAGTCTAGCAGTTACTTAGTACTGGTAATATTAATATTGGGATATGCACCAAGCATCAGGCACACACAGCTCCAAGCTCATTGGTTCCTACACACACACACAGTAAGGTTTCAGTCACTGAGCTGCAGTGGTGATACTGAGGCAATGTGTGTGTGTGTGTGTGTGTGTGTGTGTGTGATGAAGACACAGGGTTACAGGTGTTACATAAGGTATGTTTGGTGTCTTGATGGGATCACCCTACTGAACCTGTGACACACCACATAAGTTTGTGTGTGTTAGTGTGTTGTGTGTGAAATACACACCATGAAGTCACAGGGGAGATGAGCCCAGAGAGAGAAACTCAGGGTGGTTAACAAACTCAGACTCTTCACTGAACCTGCTTTCTGGAACAGATTCCATGACTGTTTTAGATTCTTTGGAGATAAATGTTTTTCACAGGAACAATACTTTTTTTTAAATATATTTTAATACCTGAAAAATACTTGCATGAAATACTGTTGCACTGACATTTTCAGAATGTGATTACACTCATTCAGATGTTATCTCTGTACTCTTGTGTTGTTCCAGCTGAACTGCTGTGGTGCTTTTTATGCTTTTTATGTATTTTGTTTTTGGACATGGTCTCGTTTATTCTTCTATTAGTACCTCATGCCCCCTCTGTTGAATCTGTTGTGGAGCCAACCCTGCATGGTTTTGGTGTAAGTGTGTTTACTGTGATGTTGATGTTGGACTGTTTGTCTCAGTACTTCCTGTCAGCTGACTCTGGCTGACAGTATCAACAACAGCTCTGAGAGTTCAGCTTCACTTTTATGTTACACAATAATTCCTGTGTTTCTGGAAGTGACTCTTTATACAAACACAAACCATTATCACACTGTGGATTTATAGATCAAAATCCCCCTTTTCTGTTTCTGTAAAACAAGTAGTCTTCGTCTTGAACCAGTGTCCACATATTCATTCAGATTTGATTTGGGGCGGGCACCATCTCCATCATATGTGACTCATAACTCATTTACATTTTCAAAAGAGTGTAATTGCTCCATTTTCAAAATTTTCCCCCGGGCCTCTTCCTCCTGATGGGTGAGGGAGATGTATGTAGATAATAGTTGTCTACATGCTATCAGTACCAGAAGATAAAGTAAGACAGGAGGTCTCCTATTAGTCTGTTTGCGGGTTCATATGCACGTTCACAAATCATGGAAAATCTTCACTTTCATAACAAAATTTTACAGAAACCAGTTTTACTCTGTGATTCATTATAGTGACTTACTATACTACAAAGGCCTATATACAGGCTCTTTTTAAGAAAAGTCTTAAAAGACTTATTTGCAAGATATTAGTACCACTTCAAGTTTTAATGGCAGGATAGTCAGAGACAGTGGTGAATGCTGAAAATGTATTGTACTTAGTCTAATCTTCCTTTAAAACAAGTCTATGAGGAACAAGTGATAATTGTAAAGCATCAAAGGCAGACTGAATAGTTAGAGCCTGGGTCATATAAAGCTGTATCATCTGCATATAAATGGACATTGAAATCCTGATTAGGAAGAATGTAATTTATGTATAATGTCAATAGTAATGGTCCAAGATTGGTCCCCTGTGGCACCCCGGTACCAGTCCACAGCCTGGATTTATTAACCACTGCACTACATCTTAAAATCCATTGTACAAATTACAGGGCAGCCAATGGGAAGTTGGGTCTAAATATTGAGAATATGCTCTTTTGCCATATATTTCTATTTTTCTGTAACCCAATCCTCGTGGATAAAGCATAAAATCATCAGGCTATTTACTAATTCATGCACGAGGGTGATTCATCAATAATATATATATATAATAATATACCAGCATACGTGCTATTCTTGCCATCACCATCAAAGCGTGGTGGCTTCACTCACATTAAAGATGTAGGCCATTTTTAAAATATATATATTTTTGTCATTTTTGCTGAAACTTTCACTATATCCTGACAGTAGTACATCAGACTGATAATCTGTGAACAAATCAAGCTCCACTGGTTCCTCCCAGTGGTCCTAATGGCATTTGGAAGAATCCACCAGGCCTGAACGAAAACAACCAATCTAGAACAAGTCAGAGGAACATGATTTTTTTTCCACAGATTATCTCTCTCATGTACTACTGTCAGAACACAGTGAAAAGTTCAGCAATAATGAAGAAAAGTAATTTTTATAAAAGTTACCGCTGGAGCTTTAAAGGACAATTCCGGCGCAAAATGAACCTGGGGTTAATAACACATGTGTACCGAGTTGGTCCGTTCTCTGGGATATGTTTTCATGCTAATCGACCGTGACCGGTTTTAGCACAAACCGCTAATTAACTTATAACACTAGTCAACAGGGCACAGAGTAACGTGAAAAGAAATCGCTTTTTATACCACTAACAAGACTCAAAATAGCCCACACTTACACGGTAGCATAATGAGGTAGCATAATGTTTTGTACAGACTGTACAAAACACTGCGTCTCTTGGGTGTCGCGATGCAACAGGTCCCACTCCGTGCAACACAGGCACTCCTCTTCGGTGGCCATATATTAGCTTCACAATGTCCGCAGGTACACCACCAGTTTCCCGAACTGCTGGAGCTCCGTGAAAGGGCTACGAGAGAGAGAGCTACCGGTAGTCAATGCCGCAACACAGCCTCGTACTTCGGGAAACTGGTGGTGTACCTGCGGACATTGTGAAGCTAATATATGTCCACCGAAGAGGAGTGCCTGTGTTGCACGGAGTGGGACCTGTTGCATCGTGACACCCAAGAGACGCAGTGTTTTGTACAGTCAGTACAGATTTCCCCTCTCTGATAAACAGAGCTGTACTTGAAACTTTTTTCCATGTCCCGAAAATAAATTGGAGGCAGTGACTCATACCGGAGGGACCAGATGGACAGTTATCCACTGAGTAAGTACACTAGACAAGTTGTGTTTTACATCTGTGCTTTTATTTCTGATATATTGAGCAAATTATGTTTGTTTTAGTTCACATTGCCAGCTGTAAGTCTTGATCATTGATCTGCATGAATGACCTAACCCCTGACTGTTCTCCCAAGATAGCGCCCGCCTGTATACGCGAACGCTACTGTTGTTCTAAACTATCTTTTTAATAAACTGTCTGTACACTTACAAAGTTCTCAGTGCTTCGGTTTATAGGTAGGGGCCCTCATTATGCTACCGTGTAAGTGTGGTGCTATTTTGAGTCTTGTTAGTGGTATAAAAAGCGATTTCTTTTCACGTTACTCTGTGCCCCGTTGACTAGCGTTATAAGTTAATTAGCGGTTTGTGCTAAAACCGGTCAAGGTCGATTGGCATGAAAACATAACCCAGAGAACGGACCAACTCGGTACACATGTGTTATTAACCCCAGGTTAATTTTCCGCCGGAATTGTCCTTTAACTCAAACATCAGAAAAAACAGACTTTGTTAGTGTGACTCACTCTGTGCACCAAAATGGCCTTCAATTGGAGAATACACAAACTAAAACCTACAGGTACCTGCAGGTTTTCAGTTTTTTGTTTTTGGAGTGTTTTGATTGAGTTTAGATATCCAGAGACAGAACACAAGGTGGAGTCAGAGTGAAAATCTCAGTAATAGAATTATACATCTATTGTTTCTACATGTGAACAAACTCCTCTGACTCAGAAAAGCCCTTTGTCATTTCCTGTGGTGTCATTTCCTGTGGAGAGCTGTGACATCACTGAGGGTCAACAGTGAAGAAACAAACACATACGCATAGTTGTGTGTACAGGATGTCCCACCTCATCCTGAGCTGCTATACACACAAAAATTATATTTTTTTAATTAAAAATAAAAACTAGAAATACAATACAGACATAAAATAAATAAAATATAAAGTACAGACAACTTAAGCTATAAAAACAACCAGGCAAGCTAAGCAGATACACAAATTGGAGGAAATTAATTATGTAGTGGGAGCATTTTGTGCTGTAATCATACCCAGAGACCACATGTGTATGATAATGATTTTGATATGTCTAGGTTGTTCTCT